TAGCTAACACAAGCGCCGTGCAGGTGAAGCAGAACCTTCCTGATGTGTTTCTGTAAACTCTCATTTCCCGATGGGTGAGAGGACGCGGGTGTGAGGAAAAGGGCCGGGAGCGGAGCCGCACTCTTTGCTTTTGAGGTTCATCAAGGGATTCATCCACCGTGACAAACCGCTTGGTCCTGACAACGAGGACTTTATCACGTTCATGCGCAAGAATTACATCTTGAAGCTGCGGTACCACGTCCCGAGGAGCGTGCTGGACAAGAGCTGGCTGCGGCCCCCGGGCATCCTGGAGAGCGTAAGGTTGCATGGCGGCCTGTGCGCTCTGCCCCGCAGGGGCCTGTGAGGGGGGCACTCCGGACACCCCATCAAAGGCTCTGGGAATCCCACCAAGAAGCCAGTCCCTCAGGCGACCCCAAGCCATGCTCTCGTTTGAGAAGCACTGGTTTGCTCGGCCTAGTGTAATCCCAGCTCCTGGGAGGCTAAGGCAGGAGGACCAGGGCTTTGAGGATGGGCTTTAAGGTGAGACCCTGTCTCAAAGGAAAAAAAAGGAAAGAAAAAAGCTCCAGTCAGACTGGAAGGCGAGCTGCTCTGACTGTAAAATCCTCATGTTGTACATGGCTGTGTCCAGGCATGCGCGGGGACGGGTGGGGAAGAAGCGCGTGTTCTCCACACAGGCTTCCGATCTGCTCCGGACCATGTGCGTGAGGAACCTGGTTCGCAAGTACTGCCGCGGGCTGACAGCTGAGCGGAAAGCCATGGTAGGGACGCAGCAGGGGCAAGGGCCGGGCCTGCAATCACAGACCAAGTTCACAAGTTTGTGTGCACCAGTCCACCTATGAGCCAAGGGTCAGCTGCTCCATGAGCTGTAGGTGAGGTCGGCAGCCCTGTGCTGTTACCATGGAGACAGAGCGGATGCAAGCCCCTTGCTGGGGAAGGAGCATTCCTTGCAGATCTTCTCTGCAACAGGTAGATGCTGACAGGAAAAGCATTTTCGGCTTTGTGGGCCAGCCGCACATCAGTTGTCGTGACTGAGCTGTACAGCTGGCGTTGAGCCAGCGTGGGGTGTAATTAACCATGTGGTGGTGCTCCCAGAAACTTCCCTCACAAACAGGCAACATGTAGTGCCATCCCCTGACCGCTCTCTCCATGTCTGGAAACCCCGCTCTCAGGCAGTCAGCTCAAGGATGGAGGTCTGCCAAGCCCAGGGTCCACCAGTCCTTAAAAGTATTTTGGCCAAGAATGTGTTCTGACTTCTGCGCCAAAGCATTACAAGGTTTCTATGGTGAACCAGACAAGGGTGCAGAACTGCAGGCCTCACACTCCTCTGTCCCCTGACCGTCTCAGGGCTACCGTATTTTTGTTTTTCTCACTTTCAAACTGTATTGTCAGATGCAGGAAAAGGTGGTTACAAGCGACATCTTCGGGGGAAAGAAGGAAGGCTACGCAGAAAGTTTAAAGCAACCCTTCGCCAGCAGTCGCATAGGTAAGTTCATCGTCTTCCAGTGTATACGCAGCTTCCGGTCTCTAAAACGCTGGGGGAGGCGTTTGGCTCTGCAGCACTTCCGGCAGCTTCAGCCTGGAGGGGCACAGGTCCACCTCCCCTCGGTGCTATTTAATAACTCACGGGTGTTGTGGTTCCCTTGACAGATGGAGACATCAATCCTAAAGTGCTTCAACTTATTGGCAGCGAGAGAATCCAGGTACAGGGTGTGTGTGTGTGTCCTGGGCCTCCGGCTGAACCCCTCAAGGTGGAGGGCAACGTTTGCTGTGTGCAGTGTCTGTGCCGCTCTGGGAGTTAGCGACGATAATGGGGTGACTGTCAGACTCAAAGAACAGCAAGAGATGATTGTCAGTCACCCTAAAAAAAAAACACATTTGCTTTTCTGTGGAATTGAGAGGTGAAGCCAATGGGTTCTTCCTGCAACACTCCCAAGTTGGTGAGGGGTAGTGGGTGAATAAGCTGGTGCCCACAGTGACTGGGAGATTCTGGGTGCCTCCCGTCCTGTGTGGATCTGGGCTACAGGGTGGGGTGCTTAAGAGGCAGCCGGCAACAAATGGCTGTCCTCCCGCGCCTAAGGGCCACACTGGCTGGTGGCTCCCTGGAGAACAGGGCAGAGGGTTGGCATATCACCTAGTCCCGAGTGGGTTCTCCTCTGCTGGCTTCTCAGAGCAGGTCTGCTGGAGGCAGGTGGACCTCAGGAAGTATAGGGAAGCAAAATCTCCCCCACAGAGAGCCCAGGGACAGGGGAGAAGGGTCCGGGGCTTAGCACAGCAGGAAGCTCCCAAGTGGCCCTCCCCCTCGTGGTGACCCTGGCCTCCTTGCAGTACGCCGTGCCGGTCATCAAGTATGACAGGAAAGGCTTCAAGGCCCGGCAGAGGCAACTCATCCTCACCCAGAAAGCGGCTTACGTGGTTGAACTTGCCAAGATCAAGCAGAAAATAGACTACTCAGCACTCAAAGGTAAGAGGCAGCAGCCTCAGGACCGATCCTGCCCGCCCAGGGTCGGCGTGGCCACTGGGCCCTGAGTTTCTGTTAACATCGAGCTGCCTGCTTCCTGGACACTAACTCGATCTGTCTCCAGGCGTCTCCACCAGCAATCTGAGTGATGGGATCTTAGTCATTCACGTCTCCCCTGAGGACCACAAGCAAAAGGTAACTGTGGGGCCCGTGTCCCACTGTCTGAGAGTTTTTCTTCACATCGCCAGTTCTGACCACGCCGTCTCCGCCTCTCCCCAGGGAGATGCCGTGCTACAGTGTGAGCACGTGTTTGAAGCAGTCACCAAACTCACCATGCTGCTTCAGGACGATGTTGTCAAGGTGGTGCAAGGCAGGTGAGTGGCTTTATCGGCTCGGGGTTCAAACGCTGGCAGGGCCTGCAGAGTCAGTTCTTCTACCCGTGCCTGCCTGCCTGCCGCCAGCGAGGGGAGAGGAAGGCTCCCTTGCTTTTCCTGAAAAATCACCTACTTCCCAGAAAGTGAAAATGGAGGTCAGTGTTCACCACTGCCCTCTGGAAGCCACAGTTCCCATCTCCAAAGGCGCCACTCATGTTCTAGGGGGCTCTGGGCTGGGCAGGGGAGAACTGGTGTGCACCTGCCTACAGACTGAGCAGGAAAAGGATGTAAAAGGAAGGCACGTAGCCCATAAGAAATGAATATCCTTATTTAGGAGCTGGGAAGGTGGCTCAGGGGTAGAGTGCTTGCCTTGCGCTGAACTGCTGAGGGACAGCGCCCAGGCCCAGAGTTCAGGCCCCACGACCGGACACCGCCCCCCCCCAAAAAAAAGAAATGAATACCCTTATTTAATTCAAACTTAAAAGTGCTGGCTGCCTTTTCTATTTCTCAGCCAAGCAAGCAGGGGGCGTGGAGCTCAGGCCCAGGCAGACATCCTGTTCTCAGACCCAACAGCAGCTTCGGTGCTGCTTGTCCCAAGGGTGTACGGCCTGAGAGGCGACTGGGGATGGGAGAGAAGATTGTGGAGTGAGCTGTGTCTCTGCTGGGGGAGGGGGGAGGAATATTAGCATGAGCAGTGCAGATCATTCCTTAAATGGGCTCCTAGAACTGAATGTCTGTCAGAGTGATCTGAGAATGCCCGCAAGTATGAAAGTTACCCCCTTGCTTTTCTTTTGATTACATACATACGTAGTAAAGCACAAATTCTGTGTGTGTGTGTGTGTGTGTGTGTGTGTATCCATACACACACACATGCATACATATACGTAAATTTCCTAAGGGAGAATTTTTGCAGACCAAAAGCTGCAGGAAGAAGTAATTTGTCACTGTCTTCAGTTTACAGTTTTACATCAGTCCTGGGAAAGAAGGTACGATCGTTTTTGACACCGGGCCAGAAGAACAAGTGTATAAAGACAAAAACGGGCAGTTAACAGTGGTGAGTGGCTGTGGGGGCAGCAGCAAGGTAAGGGAGAGCGGGGGAGTCTTCCATGTCCTTTGTCACGGGATGACAAAGATCCTCCACCTTGTCCCCACATTGCAACCCACGTGCCTGGGGCTTGCCCTTAGTCATGAAGAGCCCCAGGCCAGGACCCTGCCTGGGAATCTGGTCCTTCCAGGTGGTGTGCACAGATGAGTTTTCAGCCAGTACCAGAAGCGACCTATTCAAAAGCAGAGGGGCTGAAATCCTTCAGATATATTTTATGCCATGACTGGGTGCAGTGGTAGGCAGCTGTAATCCCAGCTACTCAGGAGGTTGAGATGAGAGTTCAGGGCTGACCTAGGCAGATCCAAGTCTCATCTGAATTTATATACATTTAACCCATACATAAAATTTTTAACTATGTAACATAATGGTCTCTCCTTCAGGAGCAAGTTAAACTGAAGGTATTGAATTTTCTGTTGACAAGTTATAGTCTTAAAAATGGGACGGCGACAAGGTCTGCCTACCTCTGCCTGCCTCTCAGGCTGAACAGGCTGTGGGGCTCTTCCCTAGGTGTCAGTGCGGAGGAAGTCCTGAGGGAGGATGGCGCCTGACCGCTACCGTCACCAGCTGTGCTAGGTCCCAGAAAGGAGGACTCGTGAAGCCACACCTTCAAGGAAGAATGCCAGCAGCACCTGGAAAAGTCATCTGAGCCCGGCATCCCTGTTAAAATGCTCCTCTGGGAGCCGGCCTCCAGCGTGCTCGGGTGGGTGGATGTCCCCAACAGGCCTGCGCTCCATGGACCAATGCATGTCATTACAGGGTGGGTGGCGGATTCGCCATTGAGACATGACAAAGTACTACCTGGGGCCACACAGCAGGTAAAGAGCTCATAAAGCTGCAACACTTCAGTGCTGCTTTAAATAAACAGAACTTACACGCTTCAAGGAATTGAGCCCGGCCCCTACTGTGGGCTGTCACTAGCCAGGGGTCACTGCCCCGCCATACTCCAGTGTTCAGACACTGTAGGAAAATGGTGTATCACTTCACCACCCTGAAGTCATAGGTGGTGAAGCCAAGGGTGGGGATCAGCCCTGCATGTCTGAAGAGACCCCAAGACAGACTGATACACAGCATGGTAAAACTTTTATTTTACATATGCCCACAATGCTTGTACGAGACACACTGACTACTTTTAAAACAACGGTTTTTTTGTGGCATGGAGTGACAAAGGTTCATGGAAGTGTGACCGAGACTTCACACAGTCCAGGGAGGGTGGGTGTTCACACATTTGGTAAGGGCCAGAACCTGCACCAAAGCCAACGAGCTCGTGACCACGGGAAGGAGCGGGGAGAATACAGGCTGCAGTCACAACTTGGTGACTTGTTCTGAACATAAACCAACAGCTGTTCCAGCCTCTTAATTGTAAGCTATTACACTGTAATAAAACCTTACTCTTTACTAAATTTTAGGCCAGTGTTTTACCTGGATCATTCACAAATATGACTTTCACCCTTCATGCCAGCCTAAGACAAATCAGTTTCTTATGGTCTATTAACAATCCTACTCACCGTAGCCTATGTCGCTCTAACCCTGGGGGAGGGACATACAACTAGAGGTGCAGTGTTAGGGGAGAGCACTGGCAGGAACACCAGCTCCTAAGGCTCAGAAGCTGAAACAAATGTGATTGTTCTACAAACTTAACCTCGCACACAAACATTTAAAAACAACTCATACACAATGGCTTTCCATTCCTACAGAAAACATCAGAACTGACGTTTACATGAACGTTCTAAAAAAGTTTAACCCAAGGGGTAGGGTGGGCATTTAAAACTTCGACAATATAAAATGTTTACGAAACAACGTTTTGCAAGTTCCCTTTCCTTAGCACTATAATAAAACCCAAATGGATTAATATAAAAGTTTCCCACATAACAGTTTAAAAAGCGTCTCCCCAATACGTGGTTTTGGGTGGAAGGCATGATTGATTGAAAGTTTTATTGTAGCTCTGCTGCTGGATACAAAAGAAAGGCATACCACTGTCACCGGAAGGATTGCTGCATACAAACTCTAAGCCAAAAACAAAAAAAAAGTTCCAAAATAGAACATTTTTTGGAATACACCTGTCAAAGGCTGCCCATGTTAATACCTTTGGTATAAAACGACAACAAGTCCCTGGCCAAGCAGACCAGATCCATCCATTACCGGACACACATTCACATCTCCCTGTGCTACTTTACCTAGTCGTCTACTCAACCATCCCATCGGCCACGACTCACTCTGTTCCCACACAGACGCAGAAGACTCTGGGAGGTAGGTAACTGAGAATGTCCATCTTACACGAGCACCATGCACAGCCAGGCTCGGCGAGGGCCACCTGTGCCCTGCCAGCATCTATCCCGCCAACAATCTCACACATCCCTTAGACACGAATACAATCGGGACCCATGGGTATCTATCTGCACACACACACAGCCTAGTCACTGCCGAAACTCAGACAAAGACGAGAGGGGATCAGAGCGGCAAGCTCCCTCTGAGCTGGTGCCTGTCAGGCTCCCAGGCTGGGAGGAAGCATCTGATTGCTGACCAAAGAGGCAAGGCGCCCCCTTCTGCAGGGGAGGGAGTGGATCCTGGGCCGCTCAGCCTGCGAGGTGACCCTTGGACCCTGGGGAATGCAGCGAGTAGAAGGAGCAGGAGAGCGGGACACGCACTGCCAGGGAAAGCTTTGCTCCTTGCCAATGTGGTTCCAGCGCGTCCCAGACAAAGGGCAGCCACGGTGGCAAAAGGTCTGCTCCTGAAGACTAGACCCAGAGCAACACTAAGGGATATTAAGAGATGAGACACTCCACTGCCATGCGCTGTGGTTGTTCATCGGAACGCACAGGGCCCGGGCCCCGTCTGCCAAGGCTGGAAGGTCACAGGCCAGGAGGCTCCCACCGCTCCTGTCGGCCCACTGCAGAGCCCCACTCAGAAGAGAAACCCTAACAGGGAGTCAACACCCACAAAAATAAATACTGCCAACCAAAGTCCTCACACACACTCACATTCGGACTTTTTCTGGGAGAACCAAGAAAGCCTGGCTCCTCGGATCCACACAAAAAGTGGAGACCTGAGCCACAGCTTGTTCAACAGGAGGGGTGTGTACACCCGGGCAAGACAGAATCAACCCACCTTGTCCAGAAATAGCAAAATCATCATCCGGCATGTTACAAAAGTGGCTCCAGGGAAGGTGGAAGGTGCCGGAAGCCTGCATGGGATCTGAGTGGGGCAGGATGGGGGGAGGGGGGGCCATGGCGCGGGACATGGGGGAGGAAGGTGGGGAGGAGGGTGCCTGGTCTGCCAGCCTGCTCACTGGTGGAGATGGGCCCTGTCGTCCGGGCGCTTGATGTGGATCCGCCGCACGCGCTCGATTCGCTCTCGCTCCCGTTCCTCGTCCTCATCCAGGTGATGGGAGCGCCCAGCTGCCCCGCCGGTGGCCTCCAGGAGTGCATTGTCAGGTCCCCGGCCATCCTGGGCCTCATACAGCAAAATATTCAGGGTCTCCTCATAAATCCGGGCTTCGGGGAACTCCACCTGTGCCCCCACAGGGGAGAGGGCAGTGGGTTAGTGTGATTTACCACGGCCCACCCACACCTGCGCCCACACACGGCTCAGCAGGGCCCTGAGGACCGAGGAAGATGCTATCATCTTCAACGCAGGTATTTCCACAATACTTACATGTGGTAAATGCAGCAGAGACCAAAGAGGCACAGTAAGACAAGGCTCCCCGACCCCATCCCCTGCCTGTCCCCACTCCCCTTCCCTGCCCAACCCGGTCGGTCCCCTGCCTGTCCCCACCCCCACTCCCCTGCCCAACCCCGTCCCGTCCCCTGCCTGTCCCCATCCCCCCTTCCTTGTCCACCCCCGCCAGTGTCTCTTCTTACAGATAACACATTTTATCCTGAATCCCATGCACGTATTTGTACATATACACTACACATTTCAGAAAACAAAAGCTGAGGCAGGAGGGTCAGAGATTCGAATCTAGCTTGGGCTGCCTAGTAGCCCCGGGCCCCTGCATGAGTCCCAGGAGTAAGCTGGAGAGCACTCCCCGATTAGACTGGACAATGCATAGCAGTTCATGTTGATGGGTGGTGTGTCGCCACTGGCAGGGCTACAGGTGTGCAAAGCACGCAGGCTTTGAACACAGACACTGAAACCACCTCCTTTCTGAGCAGGCATGCGCTGGGGGCCCTCAGGAAACGGCACGAGCCTTCCTTGGCAAATCACTGTTTGCCTGTCCTCCTTGTGGAGCCCTGGATGGAAGGAGGGCGGCGCAAATGTGTTCCAGGTATGACACACGGATCAGACTCGGCCTTCCAGGGCGCGCTTCTCTTAGACGCCAGGAGGGAGAGAGGGAGCACTCCCATCTTCCTCACTAGAGCCACCAGGAGAGACCACGCCGCAGCAATGAGGGATCTGAGAAGCTGCATTCGCCATGCGGCACTGCCAGCATGGTGGGCAGACAGGAGGGCAACCCCGGCTTTTCTGTCCTCTACATTCTTGCATCCCCATCTCGGCCCAAGCCACCTCACGGCAGCAAGCAGAGCCGGAAGGAGTGAAGGTTCCTGGTCTCAGCAGGTGGGGAGAACTCCTGCTTTTTCCTGAGACTCATGCTGGGCCACCTCAGAGATAGGTTAAGGAAGCCAAAGAATCCATAGCTATAGCTACAGCCCTAACTTGCTGGCCATACAACAAGAAGAGGGAGCCCAGGAAGTTGGGAAATACTGAGAAGACTGTGGGGAAAGGGAGTTTGAGGGGCTGACTGAGCGCCTAGACTTGGGCCAGCTGTGGATCTGCGCTACTCCGAAGGGTACTGACCAATGGCGTCAGCAACTGCATGGCTCCAGATGCTGCCCCAGTGCACGGCACGCAGGTGGGACATATCTGAAAGTTTTCAAAACTGGAGCTTTGTCACTGGAGTCAAAAACCACAGAAAGGCTGGCTGGAACATCAGCCTAAACCCAGCTGGGTCAACTGCCAGCAAAGAAACCAAAAAATGCAGCCGGGAGCCGGTGGCTCATGCCTGTAATCCTAGCTACTAAGGAGGCTGAGATCTGAGGATTGCAGTTCAAAGCCAGACCGGGCAGGAAAGTCCATGAGACTCATCTCCAATAAAGCACTACAAAATTGGGAAGTGGCGCTGTGGCTCAAGTGGTAGAGCGCTTGCCTTGAGCTGAAGAATGCAGGGACAGTGCCCAGGCCCAGAGTTCAAGCCCCATGACCAACCAAAAAAAAAAAGCCAACTTTTTCCTTAGGAAGAGACCATGACTGAGAGCATCAAGATATCAGGACACAGTTCAAAACCAGTCAGCTCATGAAGAACAAAAATCCCAACCCCTGTGCACAAAGCTAGTCAACGCATGTGTGCTAATGCCAAGCCCACACAGAGGCTAGGGTGACCTGACCAGGTCCCCAAAACATTCCAGCAAGCAATACAGAGCAGACACAACAATGTAAAGAACTACACGAACATTCTAGAACACACGCTCACTGACCTGACAGGAAGGGCTCAGTGAGGGTGGTGAGGATGAAGCAGAGGTGACAGAAACAATTCCATCTCAACAGAAGTAAGGAGAGGCCACTAACACAGAAGTCAGGCTCCATTGTCATCTATTCTGAGAACCCGAGTTTCAAGAACCAAATGGATAGTGCATGCCTTGAAGACCTGCTTCAACTTTAATTTTGGCTATCCACACCCTTTCCAACTTAACCACAAAAGACAAATTATGCCTAAAGGATTTAGTAAAGCACTTGGGATGTTGTTTCAAGAAAGATGTCAGCTCTGCAAGAAACTGAACTCAAGCAGTGACTTGAGCACAGTTCCCAGAGGCTTGGGGTAGAGACAGGGTTAGCTGTCCATCTCTGACACCAACCGCATGGACCGTCATGGGCAGGAAAGGAGAAGGCATGAGGAGGGCTGGCCGCCCAGCCTGGCCCTACCACTCGCCGGTTTCACAAACCCAAGTGCAGACTTGCTCTGGAAGCCATCTGCTCATCCATACACAGCTGAGGTCAAGCCATGCCATCTCTAGATTCCTTTGCTCCTTATTAAGCTCTAAAGATAAGGAATCTCGATATTTTTTTTGTTGTTGTTGGTTGTGGGGCTTGAACTCTGGACCTGGGCGCTGTCCCTCATCTCTTCAGCTCAAGGAGAGCGCTCTACCACTTGAGCCGCAGTGTCACTTTTGGTTTTCTGAGTGGTTTATTGGAGACAAGAGTCTCATGGCCGTTCCTGCCTGGGCTGGCCTTGAACCTCGATCTTCAGATCTCAGCCTCCTGAGTAGCTAGGATTATAGGTGTGGGGCCACCAGTGCCCGGTGCCCAGGGAAATCTTGATATTTTAATTTAGTCAACATGATGATTATCCTTTTTATATCCAAGGGAAGGTACAACCCAAGTGTATTTTAAAAGAGATCATGTCAAGATGGAGTCTAGTTACAAGAGGACCCACATCCTTAAAAAGGAACTTCACAGGAGACAAGAGGCATGATGCATCTGCTAGTGAGGCACAGGCAATTCTGGCTCCCTGCTGTTTTTGAAACAAGAAAGAACCTCAGTGCTTTCCCTTTCTTGGCTACCCTTAGAAACAATCTCTGCCGAGCTGGGCACCGGTGGTTCATGTCTGTAATCCTAGCTACTCAGGAGGCTGAGATCTGAGGATCGCAGTCCAAAGCCAGCCCGGGCAGGAAAGTCTGTGAGACTCTTATCTCCAATAAACCACTAGAAAACCAGAAGTAGCGCTGTGGCTCAAGCAGTAGAGTGCTCGCCTTGAGCTGAAGAGCATGCAGGAACAGAGCCTAAACCCAGTTTAAGCCCCACGACCCACACCCACACCCCCACACCCACACCCCCACAACCAAGTCTGCCGTTTAGGCTATCTCCTGAATAGGAGTTCTCAAGTCAGCACTGTGCTGGAGAAGGGAAGTGAACACAGACTGAGCAAGAGCCACTGTGAGCTGGTGGCCACTGAAACTAGATGACCGAACGTGGAGATCACTGTCGCTATCTGTGTCTAATTCTGCACATGATCCAAATTTCCAATAATATCCGGGGAAAAGGCCTTTCTCTTGGTCCTCTGCACTTCTTTCATTTGTGCCTTGCTTGAGACGGGCTCAGAATCCCACAGAACTATGTTAACTCCCAAAGCTGCACACACAATAGTAACCTGAGCAGGTGAGTGACAGCTGGCATGCGGGTGACTAGTGGCATGGCAATCCACTTGTGACACAACTGCTCTATGTCACAGATACTCAGATTTCTCTTAGATAGGTGGAGAAAGAAGTGACTGGGTATATAGTATAGTATAACAAACAGAGGAGAGGGAGAAGCAAGAGGGGGAGGAGAGGGGGAAGGGGAAAGAGGACAAGGGGAAGGGATGGATAGGAAGGGAAAGGAAAGGGAAGGGGTGTCACTCATAGCGCAAGGGCAGAAGGCCTAAAGAGAAGACAAGGGCTCTTCAAGTGGAAGATCTGAAGTTCAAATAACAGCAGAGCGGATCTCTCGCAGTACTCTGCTTTGCAGAATGGCTTGTCAGTGGAAGTGAAGGGAGAGGTCAAGAGTGCTGATCTGAGCCAGGCACTGGTAGCTCACACCTGTAACGTTATCTACTCAGGAGGCTGAGATCTGAGGATTCTAGTTCAAAGCCAGCCCAGGCAGGAAATTCCATGAGACACTTATCTCCAATTAAACTAACAAAAAGCCAGAAGTGGAGCTATGGCTCAAGTGGCAAAGTGCTAGTTTTGAGCATAAAAGCTTACCAGCACCCAGGCCCTGAGTTCAAGCCCCAGGACTGGCACTAAAAAAAAAAAAAGTGCAGGTTTAGAGAGGATGACATGAAGAAGGAAAATCCAGAGCCCAGTTCATCCAGGGAGTTGAATGTGGCTGGAAGGAAGCCAAGAGGGTACACACACAGGCCCTGGGACCGGAGGGCAGCTCTAGGTAGCGGGCAAGAGCAGGACAGACAGGCGGCAAGTATGTGGTAAGTGGCGACTAGTAAGTCAAGATCTTGGAGGGCATGGGATGGACCAGTGCTGTCTCCTGGAGGAGGAGGAGGAGGAGAAACAGCACCAGCGCTGTCAGAATGACCAGAGGAAGACAACACTGCAGCTGAACACATACAGGCACAAGGCTAAATCTCAGACCACACGTACAGCAAAGTGACCGGGCCGTGGCATGGCTGTCTCCACTTGCTGGGCATCAGGAGGGAACGCCAGACTCTTCTCCAAGACCTACAGTGACTACTTTCCAGGGTCTCACGTGAGCAAGCACAAGGTCAGGAGAGCATTTTTAGGGCTTCCTCATGAGTGGGAAGAGGCTGTGTGCAGACCTGCAGAGTGGCCACTAGGCACCGCGCTCTCCGGCCTCTTACCTTGGTCTGCTTCTTCTCGGTGGCATAGACGATGGAAGTACAACAGACTTCGGCGATCTTGCGGCCCTGACCATAAAAAGACCAGCAGCAGATCTCATCCCCGATGACGTCCTTTATGAACAGGACCCTTCCGTTGAAGCGCAGAGACAGCTTATCAAACAGTTCAATGTTTTTCAACATATTGTCGTCAGAATTGCTGCAAAAAGAGCATCCCATGAAGTGACCGCAGCTGTGCACGAAACACCTTACCAGGTTCCCTCTCTCCTGTCTCACTTCTGCTCGTGCTAATGCCAAGAGAAAGGCACTTTCCTTCTTCGCTCCAAGAAGGAGAATGGGAGGCCAGAAAAATCCAGCGACTGTCCAAGGCCTGGGTCTCAGAACAGACAGCTCCGGCCCCCAAGTTTGTGCTCCTAACCAGCGTGCTTGAGCCCCATTACGCTTGCCCTACCCAGCTGGAGGCAAGAAGCTGGGATGCTGGTCCGGGCACAGGACCAGTGGTGGGGATCACTCCCCCTCCCCCCCCCCCCACACACACAGGGGGCAGAACCATGCTGCTCAAGGGACACTTTGGATTCTAGGACAGATTACAGGTCTTCAACTACTTCATTACATCACTCGTCCATCCCTGCAGCCCCTCCTGCTCCCACTCTCCAACCCTGACTCACAGCCCCATGCTCCCCAGGAGATCCACAAGGTATGCACATATCTCCAGATGCTGTGGTGGCATTGTGCAATGGAGCAGCAACTTTGGAAAAGAGTTTGACAAGCCCACAGTGACTAAACTCAATCATCACGGGATCCAGAAAAATCTCACTTCTAGCTAAGACAAATGGAAAGACATGCCCACCAATCTTGCACACATACATGCATAGCGGCACTTTTCAAAATAGCTAAAGGCAGCCAGGCACCAGTGGCTCACACCTATAATCCTAGCTACTCAGGAGGCTGAGATCTGAGGATCACGGCTCGAAGCCAGCCCAGGAAGAAAAGACCCTGTGAGACACTTATCTCCAATGAACCACCCCAAAACCAGAAGTGGCACTATGGCTCAAGTGGTAGAGTATGCACCTTGAGCTTAGGATCTCAGGGACTGCTCCCAGAGTTCAAGCCGAAAGAAAGAAAGAAGAGAGAGAGAGAGAGAGAGAGAGAGAGAGAAAGAAAGAAAGAAAGAAAGAAAGAAAGAAAGAAAGAAAGAAAGAAAGAAAGAAAGAAAGAAAGAAAGAAAGAAAGGAAAGAGAGAGAGAGAAAGAAAGAGAGAAAGAGAAAGAGAGAAAGAGAGAAAGAGAGAGAGAAAGAGAGAGGGGAAGGAAGGAAGGAAGGAAAGACAAGACGACAATAGCTAAAGGCAGAAATTACTCATGGCTACAAAAGGGTAAGCAAAATGTGGACGAGCCACACAATGGAGTATTATTTGGCCATAAAAAAGGAATAAAGTTCTGATGGGTGCCACAACATGAATGGACCCTGGGGAATAGTATGCTACGTGAAGGAGATGGTCACAAGAGGGCATACGTTATACGATTCCATTCATGTGGAATGTCCACAAAATACATATCTACCGAGAAAATGCCTACCCAAGGCTTGTGGGGCAAGTGGCTGCTAACGGGCAAAGAGTTTCTTTTGGTGGTGATGAAAATATTCTAAAATTACAAAGAAGCAATGGTTGTATAACTTTGTCACTGGTTTAGAAAGGCAGGTTCTAGAGCACTGTGGCCTTCAAGTTCTAGTTACCTCTATGTGTGCCTAGTCCGGAGGTGCTGAAGGGAACTTGCAGGCTGGGCCTGGCTGGTGTGAGTGTGTGATATGGTTTTCCTAGCTAGCCAGCGAGGCCTGTGTGGTGGCTGACTCCTTACCTGGTATAGGAGTATTTGTTGTTACTTCTGTTGTAGAGCAACTTCACGGCTGGCTGGGTTGTTTAAAAAAAAAAAAAAAAAAGTTACTCAGCGTGCAGGTGCAATGAGCTGAGGGTTTTCCAGAGTGCTGGGGCCCTGCCAAGAGCAGAGGTGGCCATGGCTACAAGCACAGCTTGCTGGCGGGGGAGGGGAGGGAGCCGGCCGGGCCCAAGGGCAACGTGACGGGCGCTGTCGTTTCCTGCTCAGGCCTGGCGGTGGCAGTTTCACATGCTTCTGTCTCAAAACTCACCTCTCTGTGTCTGGTAGCAAAGGAAACCCCTCAGGCGCCTCCGACATACCTTGTTGGAGGTGGCTATAAGTTTTTGTTCCTCTTTGGATGAAGTGATGACAGGAACCTTGCAGAATGGCTCGTAAGTGTCTTTGTTCTGCTGGAACAAAACATACTTTCAGCCAGGCGCCAGTGGCTCATGCCTGTAATCCTAGCTATTCAGGAGGTTGAGATCAGAGGATTGCAGTTCAAAGCCAGCCCGGACTGTAAAGTCTTATCTCCAATAAACCACTAGAAAATGGGAAGGGGTGCTGTGACTCAAGTGGTAGAGTATTAGCCTTGAGCTGAAGAGCTGAGGGACAGCGCCCAGGCCCAGAGTTCAAGCCCCACAACTGACAAAACACACACAAAACAAAAAAAACATACTTTCAGCCTAGGTGGTCTGCCTTGTGAGGGGTGCTGGGGGAGAGAGGGAGCTTTTCAGCCGGCCTGGCAGACAACAGGCTTGCAAGAAAGGTGGGGCAGTCAGGGCAGGAGGAGCATGCTTGGTGTCTAGGGCCATTCCACACCAGAGGCTCAGCAAGCTAACAATGATGATGCAGCTCCCCACCCAAGAAGCCACTAAAACTAAGCTCCCAATGTAGAGAGAAGCCTAGTTTCACCAAGGGCTCCTATAAGCCCTATGACCACAGAGGAATAAGGAAGAAGAATGGGACAGGTGAGCTCAGCAGACAAAAAGCATCAAACCAGGAGGCTACCTGTTTGCCAGTGGCTCACACCTATAATCCTAGCTACTTAAGTGGCTGAGAGCTGGAGGATCTCAGACTAGCCAGGGTAGAAAAGTCTGAAGACTGTCTCCAAAATAACTAGCAAAAATCTGAGCTGAGCTGGGCATCAGTGGCTCAGACCCGTAATCCTAGCTATTCAGGAGGCTGAGATCTGAGATCACGGTTCAAAGCCAGTGTAGTCAGGGAAGTCTGAGAGACTCATCTCCAGATAACTACTAAAAAATAAAAAGCCAGAAGTAGAGCTGTGGCTCAAGTAACAGAGTGCTAGGCCTTGAGCAAAAAAACTCAGGGACAGTGCTGGGGCCCTGAGTTTAAGCCCCAGGACCAGCACAGAAAAAAAGCAGAGCTGGAGGCATGACTCAAGGGGGAGACTGCCAAGAGAGCAAGAGCAGGCTCAGTTCAAACCCTTACATGACAACATCATCATCGTCAACAAACACAGGCTTGGAGGCTGGAAAGCTGATGCAGGCTGAGTGCTGACCGAGGGGATGGACAGCAGACACCCACGCTGTGGGCAGGGAGGAGGCTGCAGAGTCCTCAGTGAAAGCTCCTGTGCGGTGGGGTACAGGCAAAGAGCAGAGCCTGGCTTCCCGTCAGTGAGCAATGGAGACCCCCAGACCCATCCATCCATTCCCTCTCTCCATGGGCTCCCGCCTCTCCCTTTCCTGGAGTGGCTTGAACAGCAGAGGACAGGGCCAAGTCATTATTCTGGAAAGTGGGGGGTTAAATGAACATCTGTTCTGGCTCTTCCTCTACTCACACTCCAGGGGGCCAGTCACATGCTTCCGCCCCACCCCAGCCCCCAGAAGGCTGTGGGGCATTTCTTGGGAGTAGGGTCTGGCCAGGTAGCCTGGCTGGCCTGAAACTTGAAATCGTCCTGCCTCCACCTCCCAAGAAGCTGGACAGCAGTGTGTGCCACCCCATCCAGACTTCTGGTAGGCAGGATCTATCCACTAAAAATTGGCTTACAAGTTCAGACATGTGGGATCTGCAGTGAGAAAGCTGGCCTATCACCCAACCACAACCTCATGGGACAACAAAGACTGCTCACACACCACAGTGCACCAATCTTACGACTCAGGAGAAGCTGACAGAAGCCAGCACAAAGAACAGAAAAAGTCCAAGAAGAGTCAGACTGAGAGGGGCAGCAAGTAAACCTCACATCCTACCAGCTGGCAGAGAGGGAGGACACAAAGAGGGTAGACAGGTAGCCTCTGAAACAACTGTAGCTTTCAGAGAGCAAAACAGCTCTTCGAAAGTAGAAACGTAATAGCAAAAATGAAATATGACCCAGAAGGGTTGAAAAGATAAAACTCAGAAAGCAGAAGACAAAGGCTGCGTCAGAGAAGCTGGAATCGGCTCTAGAGGCAGATGGAGGTCTTACAGAAATAGAACCCGGTGGAGAAGAAGCCATCCAATGTGAGACTGACTCTCTTACTGAGAACAGAGGGACTGAACTTGGGGGGGTATATGCTTAGAAATCAAGCAAATGAAATCGCCCCAGGCTGAACTGCCAACCAGATGTACAATCCTAATGCAAACTGATACAGCTTAACTGGGGGGAAGGGACAAGAATGTAAACTCTTCTGTTTACAGTAATGCCAGTAGACAACATCAGAAATGGGAGAGTCAGTCAACAGCAGCAAAAGCAGCTCTGAGGAAATCACAGTAAAGTGGCTACAAGATCCTGCGTGGGTGAGGTTGGCCGGGAGGGGTGTGGTGGTGTTCCTGCGGCACCATCTGACTCCCTGCAGACATAACTTAAAGGATGAGGGGAAGGCTGCAACCCTAGATTAGATTTATGGTGGTCCACAGTTCCGCAGGCAGAGGTGGTACAGGGTAAGGCCAGTGCCTCCAGGAGCTTTGACACAATGGGCACTGCTCTAGCTGAGGGCCAGACACAGCCCTGTGTGGCCTGGGGAAGGCACAATCGAGTACCACACATATACAAACTGAGGCTCTGCAGCAGCCAAAGGGGCTTTTCTGGTTCTGCACCGTGTGGGAGCCTGGCCCACAGTCACAGTGAGCGGCTGCAGGTGACGTTTAGAGGCACTGCCTTGCAGGACGCACTGTCACCAGACCTGACCCCAGTGGTCTCCGCGTGGGTCCAGTTGAGGAAGGCTGTCTGCACTGTCCACAGGGAGCCATTACGCTGCTCCAAGTCTCCACCCCATGAGTCACTCATCAAGGCCTTCGACATCCACAGGAGAGGACCCAACAACACGGGGGCTGAGGACAGCAGCAGTCAGGAGCTTTTCTAAAAGCCTTCAGTACCCCTCAACCCACAGTGTCCCAGCAGAGGTAGACTAGGGCACCCCCTGGATAAAATGGGTTCAATGCCACATCCCAGCAAGACAGAAAGAGTGCCACCCACTGCATTCGGACTCTCCAGTAGTACAGTTATTCTTAGGGAGTCCCTACTTTGGGGTTACTCTGGCGGGAAGACAGTCTCCAGGACTGTGAATGTGAGGTACGCTCACTCTCGCTTTGCAAAGAGGGACGAGGAGAGAGGAAGTGTGCGTGGTGGTCCTCCACGTGGAGGAAAGGGGTGCCTACTTGTAGCGCCGCCTGGCACTCTTCCAGCAGGCCCTGGACGAGGTAATACTTGGCTTCTGCTAGCAGCTCCTCGATCTCCCGGCGACTCTCGGGCAGCGGCACAGCCCCGTCCCGAAGGTAGTTGAGTATCGTCCCGAAGTGCTTCCCGCAACGGTCAATAAGGATCCAGCCTGCGGGGGAAGGAGCTAGTTACACGGTGCCCTCTGTGGGGGCGCGTGGTGCACCCGGGGCTGTCTCCTAACTCACCCCCCCCTTCCAGGGGAGAGCAGGTGCACCCCCATATTGTCTATGCCCAGACCAGACCCATAGCCTACAGGTCCTGGGGGGCTGGACACACCACCAAGTCCAGCCCCACCCCCAAGCCTAAAGGCATGTCCGCAGTGTCCTTAAACACCCCCGGGGGAAAGGCTACTCCCCCAAAAGCACACTGCCATGCTCACCTTCACAGCTGAGAAGGAGGGAGCCCAGCCTTGTCCTCAGACTGCCACCTCAGGCTCCCCAGTACAGCACAGGACGTCACCTGCCTGGACACTTCCTGCCTAGTGGCAACGTGAAGACCAAAAACCCTGCCACCCAGCCCCTCAGTCAACATGGGAAGGCGGGACCTGTTTATTAGATGCAGGAAAATGTCCTGGCTGCTGGCCAGAAGCAGTCGAGGAGAGGGGTCAGGGGACTCATCTCCTCTGTCTCCCCTGGTCTATGGTGCCTGAACTAGACTGCAGAAGGGTTTCAATTCCTCTCTCACAATGCAATTCACCAGATAGGGTATTTGGAGGAGCCAGGCCTGGGAAGAGGCAGAAGGGGAGTGAAGACCAGCAATCTCAACAGAAAATGGGAAGATGGGCCGAGAATGTGGCTTGGTGGTACAGTGTTTGCCTAGCATGCACAAAGCCCTGGGTTCGATTCCTCAGAACCACATGCACAGAAAAAGCCAGAAGTGGCGCTTTCCCTTAAGTGGTAGAGTGCTAACCTTGAGCAAAGAAAGCTCAGGGACAGTGCCCAGACCCCGAGTTCAAGCCCCAGGGGAAAAAAAAAAGAAAGAAAATGGAAAGTTGGACATAGAAGTCAAGCAGATGGGCGAGCCTCAACCTTCCTGACCAGCACAGTGCCCTGGGCGAGGAGCTCCAGTGTCTCCTGTGACCCCTACTTGCTCTTTTCTTCCCTGACTGCCAACTTGAAGAAGGTGGGACTTAGGCACGCCTTGAGGTGGGACTTGGGCCCTGGGCCGCTGGGTCAAGAGCAGCACATGTGCCTTCTGCATGTGCCTAGTCGCAGCCTGGCCGCCTCCCCCTGCCCCGTCGTGCTCCATCGCCAGTCCTCACTGCCTGGCCTTTCCCGGCTTTCTCCTTTACAGCAATCACAATGGGGTTGCTAAGAAGCCATGCGTCCGTTCTTCTCTGAGTCTGTGTGGCCTTCCTCTGAGCACTACCCCTGCCTCCTGCTCTGGCTTCCTGAGCCCTGCAGGAAGAAGAATGCTGGACTGGTCGAGTCTGGCCCTGGCTGCACGGAAGGAAGAGGCCTTCACAGGCCTGGGAGATCTCGGTACCCTGACGATGACCTCCAGATGTTCTCCTTCCTGGCTGCTTTCCACATCGGACACAATGAAATCCAGACTTAACATCTTGCACAACTCAGCTGCCCACCGAAGCGGCATGCAGGAGTGAGTGAGTCTGGACCGAGGAGGAGGCTGGCTGGGGAGCATGCCCTGCCCCCAGGGATGTCCCCCACCCCCCAACCACGAGTGGCTGGATAGGAATGTGGGCCAGGACTGTCTGAACTCTGACATTCCAAGCAATGACAGAAACTCAGATTTTCTTTTTTTTCCTTTTGGTCGTTCGTGGGGCCTGAACTCTGGTCCTGGGCGCTGTACCGCAGCTCTTCAGCTCAAGGCTAGCGCTCTACCACTTGAGCCACAGAGCCACTTACAGCCTTTTCTGCTTATGTGGCGCTGAGGAATTGATCCCAGGGCCTCATGCATGCACCTTCCAGCCTGAAACTCAAGATTTTCTGTGAATCTCATCTTTATAGGATGGTAAGCTGATTTAAAATTTCACCAATCCATCATAGAGCCACTAAAATGCACAGGCAGGTTGAATTTGGCCTTCAGACCACAGCGTGCAGCCTGGGCTCCCCAGAGGGTGCTGAGGGGTGAAAAGACAGTTGTTTGCTTCCCTGCTGTGCTTTTGAGGGAGGATCATTTCTGCAGTTCAGCAAATAAAACGGTCTCACAGAAACTCAATGATATGCCCAAGTCGGGGAGGGCAGGACCACCAGCAATAAGAAACCTAGGCTTTAAGAAAAATGGTAACTAGCTGGGCACCAGTGGCTCACACCTGTCATCCTAGCTACTCAGGAGGCTGAGATCTGATGACCGCGGTTCAAAGCCAGCCCAGGCAGGAAAGTCTGGAAGACTTTCATCTCCAATTAACCACCAGAAAACCGGAAGTAGTGCTGTGGCTCAAGCTCTTCAGCTCAAGGGTGCCCAGGCCCAGAGTTCAAGCCCCATGACCTACAAAGAAAGAAAAAGAAAAATGGTGACCGAGTCACCTCTGGTCCATGTCGTGCCTTCGGTACAGGCAGAAGTCAAGCTGGGGGAGGGAGTGGGGACTCAAGGCAACAGCCCAGAGTCTTCATAAAGGAATAGGAGGATGGTGACACTGGGCTCCAGCTCAAGAATGTGTCCAGGAAATGCTTGTGGTGAAGGAATCATACTTTGGACAAATAAGGGCAAAGGCGCAGGCTACTCTCTCCATGAGGTTTCACTTATTCAGAAGTTAAAATATTTCGGTTGCTTTCAAAGCAGGAATCTATCCCTGAGAAACTGCACGACGTCTGCATGTAATGTAGGACAGCAACAGAACGTCAAGTGCTCCATGCTGGGCGGGGGGGGGGGGGGGGGGGGGTGTCCTCCCACTGCCAAGGAGCCCTGGGGGCCATTGCGGGGCAGGCACAGGACTCCCGCAGCGCGGCAGGGCCTGAGAGCTGGGGCCCGTGTTGACAAACTAGCTCTGCCACATACTTGCACCTGCAGCAGTACTTTACTCGACCACTCTGTCCAGCAGCCTCCAAAATGGCCTCAAGAAAGGGCTGACACAGAGCTAGAAGGCGAGTGCACAGAGGGCACATAGCACCAGGCCAGTCTTGGGCATCTCACCACTGCTGCTGAGAACAGAGCAGGAGTGGGGGCTTCGGGGCCGAGGGTGCTCTGGGGGTTCGTCCACTAGGCTCACCTCCTGCCCCCCATGCAAACACACCACTTATTTCCTCTCTGGGGATGTCCAGATGTCCTTTTCCTTCTATCCTCCCTCCAGGGAGCGTCTGCAAGCCTTTCCTTGTCATACTAAGTTATTTGTAACTGTTGTATGAACTTGCCTGATCTTAAAGGTGACCTGAAATACTCGTTAAGAATGCAAATCTGAGGAATCTGCCTCATTCCTGAGTCTCAGTCTCTAGGTCGGGATCTCTGACCCAAGACTGTAGACATTTTACACCAGATAGCTTTGTCATGAGGGATTTCCACAGGTGATTTAGCAGCACTCCTGGACTCTTAACGCTCACCCCTAAGTTGTAACAACCAAAAATATCTTTAGATATTGAGTGGAGTGTGCTCATCATAAAAAGAATTCTTTGATCTAGCTTACGTACTCTCTAATTTTGAAAGGATTATCCAGCAACCTGAAACCATGCGGGGGGGGGGGGGGGGGGGGGGGGGGGGGAAGCTACAGGAAAAACTCCAAGCCAGTGCTGAAGGGGATTCTAATTCTTATTTCAAACAATCCATGGGACTAACCATGATGGTTTTTGTTGTTGTTGTTGTTTTTGTCAGTCGTAGGGCCTGAGCTCTAGGCCTGGGAACTGTCCCTCAGTTCTTCAGCTCAAGACTAGCACTCTACCACTTGAGCCACAGCACCACTTCCAGCTTTTTCTGCTTATGCGGTGCTGAGGAATCAAACCCAGGGCCTCAAGCATGCAAGGCAAGCACTCTACCACTGAGCCACCTTCCCTGTCCCCTAACCACGATGTTGACGGGTTGGGTACAAATTCTAGCATTACCCAGCCTTGGTGGCTCACGCCTGACGTCCTAGCTACTCAGCAGGCTGAGATCTGAGGATTGTGGTTTGAAGCCGGCTCAGGCAGAAAGCTAGGAGTGGAGGTAGGGGTCAAGTGGTAGAGCAAAAAAGCTTGAGCAAAAACAGCTCAAGGACAGAGCCCAGGGCCTGAATTCAAGCCCAGTACTGGTGTGTATGCACACACAAACACACTTCTAGCACTGGGGAGGAGTCCGGAAGGCCTGCTCACTGCCAGCATGTCCTCAGCAGAATGTGGACCGCAGTCCCTCCTCTGAAGGGCACAGTGACGTCCCTTCTCATCCTGCTCTCCTCAGGAGGCTTTTCCTCCTGTCTGCCCTGCCCCAGGCAGGGTGACCAGGTCATTAACAGCTGAGAGCATGGTCACGTGCTTTCTAGTACCTTCCTCCAACCTCCTAACTCCACGAGGTTTTCTCCTTCACCACTGAGAAAAGAGGGACAAAGAAGAAAACCGAGGCTGGCCCATTAGGCTGCCACATGCTCAGGTGATGCGCGGCCCCAGAGCCCTTAGCAAACTTTGGGCAGCGGACGGCTGAGAGGCAGCGAGTGCTGGGGTCAGCAGCTTCACGTTTTCTAGCCCTATGGTATGGTCTGGACACCGGATTGCTGAAGTCTTGCTCCTCAGTGGAATGGCAGTCAGCTTCCACCACATGTGGGAAGGATTACATGAACGCCGTATCATGAGCAGTATCATAGTGAGAAAGGACGGGGTGGGGGCTCGAGTGACAGTACAGACATAACACACTCAGCGTGTCAGTGACCACACTGATTTCCCAGAGCCCGGTGCCAGCGGCACTGGGCAAAGGCCATATTTCAGCAGGGGCTTAGAACAGGCGCAGTCCGGCTGGTGCGCATGCGTACTCTTTGTCCAGCTGAGTGGACATCTATGGTATTCGGCCTTTCTGGAAGAGGCCTCCACTTAGCCTTCAAAGCCACTCAGCTGCTCTTCCGGAACCCCACCCCTCAGGACTGGGTAGGGAGGAAGAAAAACCCCAACAATCCCGGGATCTCAGATAGTATCTGCTTCCTTCTGTGGCTAGGGCACCATTGTCTTGATTTCCACAAATCCCCCTGGGCAATGGGGGTGCACGGCAAAGGGGAGCCAACCACTCACAAACCACTGACCATGCTCAACCACTGCCTGACCCAAACCCAAGTTCACGGGGCACCAGGCAGCAGGGCCTCTGCCTGCAGTCCAGCCTGCTCCAGAACTCAGAGGGAAATGCCCTAACTAGCCGGCAGCGCAGACTAAAGAGTACAACGTGGCACTCCAGGGCCACGAGCCCACCACCTAAGTCAAAACTTGCCACTCTCTCAAGTGCACATCCCTGGAAGGTGGGGCCCAAGCAATGCAGGCCAAGGAATGAAGGACAGGGATGTTTACACTTCACCAGGTAAAGGTGGAGCCCCACCCTGCCCAGTGCTCTGAGATTATTCCAGGTGCAGGGAGGTGGTTCCACAAGAGCACTTTAACCAACTGTTTGCCTTCTACAAATGTGACTTTCCACAGGAAGAGTGTGTGTACACAAGTGCGTGTGCGCATACACACACACACACACACACACACACACAGAGGCATTGAATAGACGAACGCCAACTACTACATACCAATGGCTTCATGGAGTGGGATGGGTGGACCCATTCTCCACACCAGAAAAATGTGACCTTGAGCACTAAGCTACTTGGTTAGGCCCACTACTGACTAAATGAGGAGCCAGGGCTCAAATTCAGGCTTACTAGTCTTTGTTAGACACAGTGCTGGGGGGGGGGGGGGGGGGGGGAAGGCCAGAGAAACGTGTCTCCCAGGCCCGAGCATCACTCTGAAGTCAGAGAACTAAAAGAAGTCAGGGAACTAAAAGGACACTACTAGGACACCTAGCCTCATCTCCATTTTAGAAAGGCAGGCCAGGGCCTGAAGGAAGGGAAGTACTTTCTCAAAGTCAAACAGCAAATCAACTAAGACTAACAGGTCCCCAGTCCATGTAAGTCCTACTCATCATCAGGCCCAGACCCCAACCTCACTTCCTTCACAAGCACTCCCAAATGGGACCTGGTCTCCCTGGGACTTTCGGGGCTCCTCGCCCACCAAGAGGACAGGGAGCACCAATCATACCTGTTCATCTTCTGAGCAGACAAGTGGGTCCTGGGTGTGCCAGGTGGTGGAGGATGTGCAGCCAAACACCCTGCCGTGGCGGTGGGGCGACTTACCTTCACTGTCAGTGAGCACCTCCATGCGCCCGCTAAACATGGCCTTGAGCATGGTGTCCTGCTTGGTGAGCGTCTGCATGGTGGTGTAGTACAGGGCTCCGCCCACGTTCAGCTTCACGTACTTGGAGCTGGGACTGGCGCCCTTGAAGGAGGTGGTGCGGGTAGCAGCCGCCGGCACGGCTGAGCTCACCACGCTTTCTCCTGACATCTCTTCCTGCCAGGGGAGAAGATAGGGTCACCACAGGGAGCCTGGCTGGAACCCCTCCTTTCAGTCTGTGGGCTCCATTTGGCTCCCAGGGTTGTTTGCTCAGTTCATGGCACTTAAAAATTAAAAGTTTGCTTCTAATGCTGAAAACACAGGGGGAAAAAAATCTGGACTTCTGATGTCAGAGACCACATAAGCTTGGACAGCAACAACAGTGGGAGCCAGGGGATCGGCTGCCCCAAGGAGGGGCAGGGTAACCCCAGCTAGACGGTCTCACCTCACCTAGACAGGCATTAAGAGTTTGCTGTGAATTCTTGTGTTGTAAGAACTTCCTTTCTGTCCAGTGCCTGAATAAACCAACCACCCTGGCTACCTCCATCAGCAAAGTACTTCCCAGGTCCCTCTGTCTCCCCTCATGGCCACATACCCTGAAAACTCAAGGCACCCTCTTTGTACTAAACTACAGATGAAAATACACTTTTATAATGTGAATGCAATCTAGCTCCCACTCCTAACGCTTCCTAAAGGGCAGTTTTCTATGCACAAACAGAAACTCTTAGAAGTTCTCAAAAAAAAAGAAATTCTAAGACACCAGAGCCTGTGACAATCTGACAGCACTGCTACACAGAGCCAGGCGCTGGTGGCTCATGCCTGTCATCCTAGCTACTCTGGAAGATGAGATCTGAGGATCACAATTTGAAGCCAAGCTGGGCAGGAATGTCTGTGAGACAATTATCTCCAATTAACTACCAAAAATCCAGAAGTAGAAGCTGTGGGTCAGGGAGAGCACTAGCTTTGAGCAAAAAAGCTCGGGGACAGTGCCCAGGCCCTAAATTCAAGCCCTAGGACCAGCACAAAAGAAAGGAGAGCAAGAGACACAGAGAGAAACACAAACACAAACAAACACACATAGAGCAGACAGACATAACTGCCTGAGCTAAGCAGGCATGGGAAAGTAGACCGGCACTTGCATACGTACTCCAAGAAAAAGCTTTTTAGAATGATTCTGTGAAGTTCACAGCAGGAGATGTCTGGGGCCTAGTACTGAGAAAGCAAAAAGCACCTCTGATGGTCAAGGGCAAGCCCAGCTTTTCCCAAGAACAGGAACAATTTCCCAGGACTTCACCATCAGACAAGGCCGCTCTGGGGCTGTGTTGCCACAAGACAAAAACAAGACCATCCCACAATCGTGTCTGAACACATACCAAAAAACATGAACAGTATCCAAAACACGAGAGCACACAACCACACCCCTTAAGCTGGCTAATGCGAGGCTCAGCTGCCTCTGCCAATGATGGCTTCACCTGTCTGTCCTTCCACCTTCCAGACAGGAATCACAGACGGGAGCCACGGGATTAGCCACCAGCACAGCAGACAGCACAGAGCAAAGCCCTTCCCTCCAAGCCCACCCAGAATCCCAAATCCTTTCCCAGATGCCTGCCTTCCCTCCCTCCACGCAATCCAGAGGCACACCCAACAGAATTGGCGTGCTGCAGGTGATTTCAGACGAGCCGGCACTCACAGCACAGAACATTACTTTCTGTGTGTGGGTTTTCTGAGATAAGGTTTCATTGGATAGCCCAGGCTGACCTCAAAAATTCTGGTCCTCGTGCCTCAAAGTGTTTCCAATGTTGGGGTTGAAGGTGTGCACCACTAACGCCCAGCTAGTTTTTTTTGAACTATTCTGGAAAATGACTTTGATGCCTTTCTATCTTTTCCAGAAAGATTTCCCATAGCAAAGGTGACGTATTTATGACTGGTAAGGCAAGACCGGCATTGCCGGCGGGGGAGGGGCTGACACAGTGATGACCTGTGACAGCGAAGTAAGAGTGAGCCACAGGCAGCTCCAGGCACCTCCCAGGTCCACATTCCGCGGGCAGGCCTCCCGCCCTCCAGCCCCCAGGGAGGCCTGGAATCCCTTGCGTCAGGACCCCTTGGTGTGAAAGAGAAGGAAATATTTTCTCAAGAAATTGTAGCTGCTGCTCAAGTGAAAACACCGGAACAAGGCGTGCTGGCAAAGGCTCCAGCTGAGCTTATGGGATGACAGAAATGGCCGCTAGGAAGAAGCCTAGAGGGAAAAAGAGTTTTATCGTCCTGTGATTTGGGTTTTTTGAACCTTTTTTTTTTTTTGGGGGGGGGGGGTGCGCTAAAGGAAATATATCCAAAAATGGAAATACTTTTCTAGCGTCCTTTGCAAATCTAAATCTATACCATTTATATGTTCATAGGACATGGCCCATCATCTTGTATGGAGTCATAAAACAGACAAAAAAAAGACTCAACATTTACTGCACATGCATATTTAGAGCTGTCAAAACCATGAAGTGTCCTTTAACTGTACGGCTGGATGCATGTGGGTCCCACTCCGGTCATGGCAGAGATCGCCGCCGCCAGCTCTAGCAGCCATCCCCCCTTCATTAGTACCACCACACGTGACTGGGAAATCCAAACGATGCTAGTAGTTACTGTCATTTCCATATTGGGGATTCAGATACCTGGACCCAGACAGATGTGGTGGTGCACACCTGTAATTCCAACACTCAAGAGGTTGAGCTACACAGCCAGACCTATCTCAAAACAACAACAAAAGGTACCCTGGCACAAAGAATGCTAGTCACTTCTCAAAGCCAGGAATGGAGTCAGTGATAAGCTAGTCCAGAATCCCTCATGCTTGGTGTATTTAGAACCATGATTTGTAAATAAGTCCCATCTCAGGCCGGGTGCCGGTGGCTCACGCCTGTAATCCTAGTTACTCATGAGGCTGAGATCTGAGGATTGCAGTTCAGAACCCAGTCCAAGCAGGAAAGTCCGTGAGACTCCTTATCTCCAATAAACCACCAGAAAATGGGAAGTGGTGGTGTGGCTCAAGTGACAGAATGCTAACCTTGAGCTGAAGAGCTGAGAGACAGTGCCCAGGCCCATGACCAAAAAAAAAAAAAAAGTGCCATCTCTTTCTTTTTTGGGGTCAGTTGTGGGGCTTGAACTCAGGACCCGAGCACTGTCTGAGCTTTTTTGCTCAAGGCTATTTCTCCAACATTTTGAGCTACAGCTCCATTTCCAGTTTTCTAATGGCTGATTGGAGATAAGTCTCACAGACTTCCTTACCCAGGCTGGCTTTGAACTGCAGTCCTCAGATCTCAGTCTCCTGAGTAGCTAGGATTGCAGGTGTGAGCCACAAGCACCCAGCCCATCTCCTTTCTTTAAAAAAAAAAAAAAAAAAAGAGAGAGCTACACTTGTAATCCTAGCTACTCAGGAGACTAAGATCTGAGTATTATGGTTCAAAGCCAGCCTATGCGGGAATGTTTATGAGACTCTTCAAGTAACCACCAAAAAGCCAGAAATGGCTTTTGAGTGACTCAAGACTCAAGAGATAGAGCACTAGTCTTGAGCGGAGAAGCTAAGAGACAGTTGCTAGGCCCTGAGTTCAAGTACCATTACATACTGAGTTCAAGTACCAGTACATACATACGTATGCATGCATACACATACATATACAAATACCCCACAAAAAGTCCTGAGAAAAGAAGCAATGTGTAGTTAAGGATTGGGGAGTCAGGCCTATATTTAAGCCCCCAACTCTGCTACTTAATAGCTTGGGGGTGTGGGTGAAATACCTGAATCTAGTCCTATCTATCAGCTGGGGCAATGCACTCCTATCCCTGCCGTGAAGGAGACTAGAGGAAGTACTACTCAGTTTAGCCCATGGCTCTGAGTAAACACTCAGACAGGAAACACTCATTTATTATTTGGAATGCTCTCAAAATCTCCAATTAGCTTCTCTTTGGAGACTGTTCCCAGCTCTAATGACAGACCGAAGACTGAATTACTACAAGACAAAGGCAGAAGCCTTCCTGATCTGGCCCGTGACTCCAGATCAGCACAGCAAAAACCCAAATACCAGGAGGGTGCTCTTGGGGAGCTGGCAGTGGCTGATCAAGTTCCTCAGTCCAGCCAGGCATTGGTGACTCACACCTGTACCCCTAGCTACTTAGAAGGCTGAGAACTGAAGATAGAGGTTCAAAGTCATCCTGAGCAGGAAAGTCTGTAAGATTCATCTCCACTACACCACCAAACAAAAAATAGGACTGGAGGTGTGGTTCAAGTGGTAAAGTGCTAGCCTGAGCACACACAAAAACTCAGGGACAGAGTCCAAGTCCTGAGTTCAAACCTCAGGACTGGCACAAAACAAACAAGTCCCTCAGCCTAAGCTACAGTGAACTGAAGACACAAAGCAGTGGACTATCATTGCCACTCTCCCCAGGAGGCCCTCCTGCTGTTCCCAGGGATCCTGTTACCCCAGTGCCCTTCCAAAGGTTTGATTTCATTATTCATGAGGCTAAGAGAGAGAGAGGGAACAAGAGCGCAAACTTGGTTGCAAGAAACAGTGAAGTCACTAATACTTAAGATATTGCTGTTGGATTCAATCAGCTTATTCCAATAAGATAGGTAAACCAAAGCTCATCTCCTGCCTGTCTGCCCTCAGTACTGCTAATGCTGATTCAAAACAGTAACTGTCTACCAGGTCTCACAATGGAATCACTAGAGGGAATTTTAAAAACTACTGATGTTGCCAGGTGCCAGTGGCGTGAGCCTATACTCCTAGTTAGTCAGGACTGAGGTCTGCAGGATCATGGTTCTAAGTGAGCTCAAGCAGCAAAGTGTCTGTTAAACTCCATCTCCAATTAACCAGGGGAAAAAACCAAACATCTGGAGGTACAGCTCAAGTGGTTCAGAGTCAGCAGTAAAAAGCAAGCTGTGACAAGCAAGCTGAGCAAATGCAAAACCCTAAGCTCATGCCCAGTACCAGCAAAATAAAAAGTTGAAATAATACTGATATCCAAAGCTGAACACCAGTGGTTCAATCCTAGCTACTCAAGAGGCTTAGATCTGGAGGACTAAGGTTCAAAGCTTGTTTGGGCAGAGAAGTCTTTGAGACTCCATCTTCAAATTATCCAGCAAGCCGAGCACTGGTGGCTCATGCCTGTAACCCTAGCTACTCAGAAGGCTGAGAGCTGAGAATCACATTTTGAAGCCAACCTGGATAGGAAAGTCTATAAAAGTTTTATCTCCAAGCCGGGTGCTGGTGGCTCACGCCTGTAATCCTAGCTACTCAGGAGGCTGAGATCTGAGGATCGCGGTTCAAAGCCAGCCCGGGCAGGAAAGACCGTGAGACTCCTATCTCCAATAAACCACCAAAAAACTGGAAGTGGCGCTGTAGCTCAAGTGGTAGAGTGCTCGCCTTGAGCTGAAGAGCTGAGGGACAGCGCCCAGGCCCAGAGTTCAAGCCCCACGACCGACAAAAAAAAAAAAATTATCTCCAGTTAATCACCAGAAAACTAGAAGTGGCGCTGTGGCTCAAAGTGGTAGACAGAGCTGGCCTTGAACAAAAGAACTCAGGGGCAGTACCCAAGCCCCAAGTTCAAGCCCCAAGGCTAACAAAAAAAATACAGCAAAAATGCTGGACTAGAGGCATGGTTCAAAGGTTTGAGTGCCAAAAGCAAGCTGGACAAGTGTGAAGTCCTGTGTTCAAACCTTGGTACCAGCAAAACAAAAAAGATACTAAGATACTAATGTTACTAATATCTGGTCCTACTTACTGAGACTCTGCTGCCAATGGGAGTTTGGCCTAGGCAACAGAATTTTTAAGTTCCACTGAGTGATTCTAATGTGCAGCCAATATTGCAATGCTCTGTGCTAAAAAGTTCTGTAACCCTTAATTAAGCTATAATTAACTCAGTGGTCTTGAAGAAGCTCTTAGACCTCTTGCTCTATTGGCCCGTGCATTAAAAACAAACCAAAGCATCATAAATAAAATCAAACCTCACTTCACAGCTTCAGCGTCACAGTCAGGAAGCAACTGTGCAAAAATAGAAATTAGCTAAAGGGCCAGGCCCTGGTGGCTCACACCTGTAATCCCAGCTACTCAGGAGGCTGAGACTGAGGATCACAGCTCAAAGCCAGCCTGGGAAGGAAAATCCATGAGACTCTCATCTCCAATGAACCACCAGAAAACTGGAAGTGGCACTGTGGCTCAAAGTGGCAGAGAGCTAGCCTTGGGCAAAAGAGCTCAAGGACAGTACCAGAGCCATGAGTTCAAGCCTCCCAACCAACACAAAAAGAAATCAGCTAAAAATGGAAAATAATTGACTTGACGAGAAAGTTGGGCAAGGATAAGTATGATAGGAACAAAGACCTATGTCTGTAATACTATCTCATGTGTGAATGTGAGTGTGTGTATCTGTGCACAGAGGGAAATGATTGAGAGCCCTGCACATTTGGATTGCAACCCCAGTTCTACCACTTTCTTCCTGATGTTTAGACCTGCAATTAACCTAATGGTTAATGCACTTGGCACCTTGCTTAGTTTCCCTTCTATCCCTCAAGCTTTAAGACCAGCTGTTCCCAGCCCTGGTTGCTAGTCACTTGTGTGTGCTTTTAAAAAATGACAGTGCCAGTGCATCAGTGGCTCACACCTGTCATCCTAACTACTCAGGAGACTGAGATCTGAGGATCATGGTTCAAAGCCAGCCTGGGCAGGAAAATCCCTAAGACTCTTCTCTTCAATTAAACCACTAAAAAGTCAGAAGTGACATTGTGGCTCAAGGGATAAAGTGCTTACTTTGAGTGGAAAAGCTAAGGGACAGCACCTAGGCTCTGAGTTCAAGCCCCAGTGCCAGCACAAAAAAAAAAAAAAAAAAAGCTGGTGTCTGCCTGGGTTAAACCCCTGGTCAATTAATCAGACTCTCAAGGAGGGTAAGAAGCAACAGCTCAGTAGCTGGTGTTTAAGAAGCTCTTCAGGTGATTCAGATGTATTGCTGGGGCTCAGTATCACCAAGTTAAGTAAGTTGTTTGTGAAACTAGCTCTTGACCGAAAAACCACAAGGGATCTGAGAGAAGAAACAAACAAACAAATAGGGCTTGGGGAAGGGGGGATTCTTACTGCAGGGAAGTTTAACAAACACTAGGCTAAATGCAGGTTTAACAGTTCCCCAAACCGAGGGTACTGCTATAACTCAGAAAAGTCTGTTTCATATCTACCAAACCATACCACATCAACTACCTAACTATAACATTATTCTGCACCCACAACTTGCTTATAAGACAGTAAGTGATAATTCCCAATGGATATTCTTCTTTTCTGGTTAGCATACAACATTTCTAACCTATTTAGCTCAAAGAGTCTACATTGTTGTTACCAATCCTACTTTTTAGGGAAGAAAACCAAGAATGAAAACTATCAGTGCCTTCTCCATTCAATTCATATACCTCCTTCTCATTTCACAGCCCAAATCAATAAATCACCAGTCTCTGCAAGGAACACATACCGACAGGCTCCAACCCCCGCCACCCCCCCACCCCAGCACTACCACCAGGCTGTCTGTGGCAAGGCTTTGAAAATTTGGTCATTTTTAACTAGCACCCAGGTGATGTCTGTTGCTGGCCTGGAGACCACAGTTACTAGAACCACCTGTTTAGACAGCCTCCCTTCCCCGAGATGGGGGGTTTCTTTTGCACAAAATGGAAAAGCGAATTCAAATCGATTTAAGTCATTTTTCTTCAGCTTGGAGTTGATCTTTCTTCTGAAAACTGGATCTGCTTAGGGGAGTGGTCAGTGGAGGAGGAACGAGACTCTATTCAGGCTGATCTTTGGTCCATCTACACCCGAGGACAAAAAAACAAACAAGCAAACAAACAAAAAAAAAGCTATTCAAGAGCTGAACTCAACAGAAACCTTCCCACAGCTGAGACGGCGAGGTGAGATATCCCGAGGTTGGCCACGCACCCGCCTCAAGGAAAGTGACTAGGAAGCAGAGGGAGCCAGGCAGGCGGCCACCGGCGTGGCTGTAGACTCGAGGGCGAAGGTACCCTGACCTCAGACGGCTGGCACAGCCCGTCCCCGGATTCCAAGCCCGGAAGGAACTCGCCTGCGGGCTTCCGAGACCCCAACCGCTTCACACCACGGGTGCTCCCCTCACCCCTTCACCCACCACCCTTCTTCACGTCGAACACCCCACGCCTGTTGTCTTTGTTCTCACCATCCTCCACTCCAGACTGAGGGACCCTTCGGCTCACGTCCCCCACGGCTACCGACAAGCCCCCCACAGCGCCTCCCGGGGTCCCTACTAGCCAAGGAGACGGACGGACAGACCCAGACTGCCGGACACAAACTCCATTTCTCCGCTCAAAGCGCTTCTTCCCCCCCCCACTTCCGGCGTCGCCCCCGACCCGTCCCCCACCCACAGCCTCCCCACCACCCCAGACGCCCCCACACCCTCCCCTCCGCCGGCGCCGGGCTCCCGCGGCCGCCCCGAGCCCCAGCCCAGCGCCCTCCTCACCATGAAAAGCCGGAGGACGCCGGAGTCTCCAAATCCCGACTGAGAGGCAGGAAAAACTCCCTGCTGGCCGGAGCCGGAGGCGGAGGCGGGGCCGTGGGCGGGAACTTCCGCTGTTCCCATCGCACTTCCGCCCCGCAGAGAGCACCAGCTTAAAGTGTCCGTTGGCGATCGACTGCTTTCCCCCCCCCCACCTTCGCGACAAGAAATAAGGTGTCACCTCCTCTCGGCTGGGGCAGGAATGTAGCCTATTCCTGAATGTTCCGAAAGACATGGGGGTGGGGGGGGGACAGGAGATGCAGGGAATTTTTCTTGACCAAGCAAAATAAGCTCTGCGGAACTGTTGTTTCCCAGAACTTAGTTTCCAGGCGGAACCTGCAGAGCGAACACCCGGGGCAAGATGGCGGTGGTGCCTCGGCCGCTGCCCCGGGGCGGGCAGGTTTCGGGGATCCTGGGCTGAGGCGGCCGGCGGCAGCTGAGGCCCGGACCCCCGAACGCGGGGCCTCGAGCGGATAAAGGGTAGCGAGTGGGGAATAGGGTAGAGGGCCGGCGGCGTTCAGGGCGGTGGGGCCGGGGCCGAGTTCGCGTCTGGCCCGATCGGCGTCGCTGGCATTCGTGATCCGGGCATCGTCTCTCCTCAGCCCTTTCCGTCTCTTTTCATCCTTGAGGCGATAGGCCTTTAGTATCGGACTAATGCTGGGCGAAAAGAACTTGTTATTTTGGTTGTTGGTGCCGAGGAGAGACGCTGGGCGTCGGGAGTCACCCAAACTGGAGTTCGAATCCTAGTCCCTCGCGGTGTGACCTTGGGTGAGTCCACTCACCTCCCTGACCCTGTTTCTTCCTCTCTGAAAAGGAGTCCTTAGATCGTTTCACAGAGTGTTTCAGTGCCACACTGGACGCTCAGTGTCTAATAAAGACTTGATTGTCATTTGACTCCCAAACGTAGGCTCACGGGCAGCCGTGCATTCTCAGCTTCTTTGTTGTGCTTTTTAATGGGGGAACTCTGGGCCAATAAATAATTGCTTTGGGGTTCTAATTCGGGAGTCGAGGGAACTCTGGCAAGTCTTGTGCTCTCCGCATTTCATCGAAAGTGGGAACGATGATAGATAGCAACCATCTAAATAGGCCGTAGCTATCCGTAAATGATAGCTAGTATTACTGATGGTTTCTCCAAGTCCTGTTGCCCATTCTTGAACTTAAGATTTTAGACTGTTCGATCTGATAGTACAGAGCTGTTGAAGACAGGGTTAAATACCTGTGTAGTATCTGATACATTGCCTGTTTGTAATAAATGACGGTCATTAAATCTCACCATAAAGAAAAAAGTCACTCTGCAGTTAGTATATATGGTACTTCATTTTAGGATGATATTCAAGATTGTCCAGAGTCTTTTCTCTTTTTCTCCCCAAAGTCTGGCTATGTAGCCCAGGCTGGCTTCAAACTACCAGCCCTTCCTCCACCTCCTGAGTGCTGAGATCACAAGTGTGCAATGCCTTGCCCAGCGCTGTCGTGTGTTTTTGTTAAAATTGGCTTTATCCAGAAAAGGCTAATGTTTTGAAGCAAGTCTCGTTGGAATATAGAAGTAAATACAGAGTTTGAATCCTGTTTTGTTAGTATTAAAAGCTTGTCCCTCCCACTTACCAATAGTCTAACCTGGTCTAACTGTGTGGTCCTCTCACATAGTTGCTGCCCTTATTAGAGGCGGTTACTTAGAAAAGACTTGACACTTAGGAACTTCCACTCATTCCCTTTTCAAATGATCTTTATTACCACTAACCTCCCTCTTGTTTTCTAGCCTTTCTAGCTGTAGGATTTTATTTCTCTTAACTGAGTTGTGTTCTCTGTAAGGACAATAGAGTAAAGCTCACATGCCATATGTTTTCCAACAGCCCTTGTTGCTAATTTCACATTTATGTTTAGTGACTAAATTCAGGTACAAGAATAGTAAATATTTCACCCAATGCTTTTAGTAACTCTAGGACATAGGTACTGTTACTATCTTCAATTTACAGATAACCTAAAGTCTAGAGTAGTAGATAAGTTAACTTAGTGAAATGAGAGGTAGAATCAGAACAAAAAAAGAACCACGGCTACTTTTTCTGAGCCAGTGCCTTTTCTAACTCAGACTTGGAGTCTCTGGCATGTTGCCAAATAAGTACTTAATAGTGATGTGTTTTTTTCTTTATTATTAATTTTTTTATTATTAATTTTTTTTGGGGGGGTCCGGTCGTGGGGCCTGAACTCTGGGCCTGGGCGCTGTCCCTCAGCTCTTCAGCTCAAGGCTAGCACTCTACCACTTGAGCCACAGCGCCACTTCTGGCATTTTTCTTTTTGCTTATGTGGTACTGAGGAATCGAACCCAGGGCCTCGAGCATGCAAGGCAAGCGCTCTACCACTGAGCCACCTTCCCAGCCCCTGTGATGTGTTTTTTTCAATTGATGACTGTAATATGCAAGTAAAGGAAGTATATAGGGAAGGATAAGAAAAGCTGAAAAGCATAGATTATTATTGTAAATAGAAACATTGCTTTGGGAATGCTCATCTCAAGGAAGGGATTATATTCTAGGAGGATTCCTGAGAGAAGTAGGTTTTGAGATAGTCTTACACATACTTAGGAGCAGTTTGTATACAACCTTTTATTTTTCTGTTGGGAAGAAGTTTTCTCGTGTGATCTCCATGTCATCCTGCCATGCCCCCACATACCAAAAAACAGGACATATATAGAGAGAATATTGTATTGTGCTCAGGGCTTGAGCCCTGCTCATATGCACTGCTCAGGAGTGTGTAGCTGTTCTGCTGTTAGAACAGGACCAGGGGCTCATAGCCCAAGCACTAGGACAGATAAACCTTAGTCCACTCAAAGATAGGAAAAAAGTAAAAAAAAAAAAAAAAAAAAAAAAAAAGGAGCCTAAGAACCTTAGTAATTACAGTTGGGAGCTTTGGAAAAAGGTTTGTGTTTTGTTTTGTTTTTACAAACTAGTGTTCATAAGAATAATGAACCATGAATTAGCCATATTGACTGTGCTCTGTCAGCACCTCAGTAGGAACTCGATACACATCATCCCATAGACCTCATGGTAGACCTCTGAGCCGACTAATGAAATAAAGACTAGCTGGGCACCAGTGGCTCACACCTATAATTCTAGCTATTCAGGAAGTTGAGATCTGGAGGACTGCAGTTCGAATCCAGCCTGGACAGAGAAGTCCTCGAGACCCCATCTCCAAAATAACCAGCCAAAAGCAGGGCTAGAGGTATAGCCTGAGTGATAGAGGCCCAGCCAAGCAAGTATGAAACCCTAAATTCAAACCTCACTACCACACACACACACACACACACACACACACACACACACGCACTCTCACACACACAGACTATAACTCAACTGACAGTACTGATAGCCAAGAACTGGCTCTGCCTCCAGCTGTGTGACTCCAAAGCAGTACTTCTTCGGTTGCTATGCCAACTTACCATGTGCTTTCTGTGGAAAGTTTAGAAAATAGAAGCAAGGAATCAATCCCCTCTACCATAAAATGATCACTCTTCTGCCTCCAGACCCCACAGTGCTTTAGGTAGAGCCAGGCCTCACCCTTAACCAGTCACATGTTAACGCGTATTTTACAGCAGCTTTTGTGCTGTGTGCATTCAATTTCCATTAGATAATCAGGATCATGTTGTTTTACTAGCAGCTCTTCTTTTACTTCTAAGGCACAAGAGTTTTCCCATATCATTAAAAATTTTAAACATAGGACTGGGAATATGGCTTACTGATAGAGTGCCTAGCATGCATGAAGCCCTGGGTTCAATTCCTCAGCACCATGTAAACAGAAAAAGCTGGAAGTGATGCCATGGCTCAAGTAATAGAGTACTAGCCTTGAGCAAAAGAAGCTTAGGGACAGTGCCTAGGCCCTGAGTTCAAGCCCCAGGACTGGGGGAAAGAAAAAAAATGTTAAACAGTACCAGGTGCCAGTGGCTCACATCTGTAATCCTAGCTGCAAATTAGAAGGCTGAGATCTGAGGATTGAAGTTTGAAGCTAGTCTGGATAGGAAAATCTGTGAGACTCTTATTTCCATTTAAGCACCAAGAAAAAAATAAAGCTAGAAGTAGAGCTGTGACTCAAGTGATAGAACACTAGCCTTGAACACAAAAGTTCAGGGATAGTGCCTAGGCCCTGAGTTCAAGTCCCAGGACCAGCACACACACACACACACACACACACACACCAATTAAACATCTTCAGTGGCTTTTTAACAGTCTATCTTTTCTTTAGGCCCTGAGTTCAAGTCCCAGGACCAGCACACACACACCAATTAAACATCTTCAGTAGCTTTTTAACAGTCAGTCTTTTCTTTTTGCTTATTATATCTAGCTTTCATTCAGTAATTTATTTGGGATGATTTTCAGCCTTTTTCCAAAATTATAAGTACTAGAAAATAGAAAAGTAAGAGTCTAAACAGATGATACATTGAAGAGGACAGAGTGTGTTTAATCATGACACTATATTAATTACTTGTGTTCAGACAGATCATTCCCCACCTGTAAAGCTTACTCCTAAGTCTGGATTTTTTTTCCTTCTGCTTCTACCAGGAAGCACAAGCTCCTTTGAAGCAAGATGCTGTCCTCCGCTGAGTGTCCTGTGGAAGATCACTAATGGTTACTTAGTGTCTCTGCTATATAGGCAGGTCCTCAGGTGAGTTATCCAGACTCAGGAGGGTGGGTAGTTGGGTGGAAAGACCAAAAGACAGCTAGCTGCCTTTTCCCCTCCTATGGCTAGCCAGGCTCTGTTCATTCGTTTCAGAAATAACCGATGATAGACCAACTTGTATTTGTTGACAGGTAGGAGTCAGTGCTGAGTAGGGGCAGCAGATCCTTTGGCTGTGGTCATGTGGTAGGAACCTAGCATGTAAAGAAGTTTCATTCCAGCTGTTGCTTTGAGTGAATTATCCTGATAGAAGCTTTTTATAGAAACCAGAATATGGCTCAAGTGGTAGTATGCTTGCCTAGCAAGCATGAGGCCATGTGTTCAAACCCCAGTACTGCCAAGAGAAGATGAGAGAAAAAGGTGGGAAGAGATGTTTTTCCAAAAGTCTAGATTTCTGAATAATTCAGTATTTTTGTCATCTGGGTTGATTATGTGTTTTGGATAGAATGGCAAACTTATGAAGCCCCTAAAGAAATCATCTCAGTATGGAGGCTGCATGCATCGATGAGGTCTGCCTCTGACTGCTAACATAAGCCTCCCTTGGAGAGGAAGGATGGTTACTCGTGCTTAAATGATCACCACACAATGTCCTTTAGAGGCCTCTGCCCAGCAAAGTACCTGTCTGTGGACATGAGCAACTGTGCTGTAAAATACACCAGCGTGGAAGCAGTAAGGATTTGGGAACAAGTGACCCGTGACTGGGACCATTCTACATTCTGAAATCATGCACCGCACCTTTTGCTTTTTTAATATTAAAATGGCCACTGTGAAAAAATAAAAAGCCGGGTCCTGGTGACTCACATAATCCTAGCCACTCAGGAAAGATCTGAGGATCCCAGTTCCCAGCTATGCTGGGTAGACAAATCCAAAAAATCCACTTAGCCAACAGAAAGCTAGAATCAGGTGTAGCTCAAATGGAAGACTGCCAGACATGAGTAAAACTGCTGAGTGAGAGCATGAGGCCCCAAGTTCAAGCCCCAGTTTCAAAAAAAGACTTGTTCTCTGTGTGTATGTGATCAGCCACAACACAGAAACCTTTTGTTCAGTGAGTGGATGACTAAGATAATGCTGACAATATAATTGTATTTGAGTTTTCCCTCAAGATTTACCTGGCAGTTGGGTGCCGGTGGCTTATGCCTGTAATCCTAGCTACACACGCTAAGATCTGAGTATCATAGTTCAAAACCAGCCCGGGCAAGAAAGTCTGTGAGACTCTTATGTCCAATTAACCACCAGAAAACCAGAAGTGGTGGGCTGGGAAGGTGGCTCAGTGGTAGAGCGCTTGCCTTGCATGCCTGAGGCCCTGGGTTCGATTCCTCAGCACCACATAAGCAAAAAGAAAAATGCCCGAAGTGGCGCTGTGGCTCAAGTGGTAGAGCGCTAGCTTTGAGTTGAAGAACTGAGGGACAGCGCCCAGGCCCAGAGTGCAGGCCCCATGACTATACCAAAAAAAAAACCAGAAGTGGCATTGTGGCTCACGTGGTCACGTGGTAGAGCATTAGCCTTAAGCTGAAGAGCTAATGGACAGCACCCAGGCCCAGAGTTCAAGACCCATGACCAACAACAACAACAACAAAAAAAGTGGAAGGTCACTGTTTAATTGTTGACCCCCCTCCCTCCACACACAAAATACAGTGGCCTGTTGCAGAAAATGCAACAGGATACCTGGTTTGAATTGGAGCCTTATGGATAGGATTAATTCAGGCCTTATTTACTTGTTAAACTTGTACAAACCTTTGCCTGTCCTTCTATGCCAGGCACTATGCATTTTCTCTCAAGAAAAGGTCATTGTTTCATACAGGCTATAGCTCCCTGGGTCATGGAGTGAGTGGGAGGTTAGAACTTGTGGGAGGTTAGAGTGGTGAATCGGTCCCTGCTGCCTTTGCACTCAAGCCCCTTTCTGTGGATGTTTTTCACCCACTGGTCTCCAGCAGCTCTTCACTGTCTGCCTTGCAGGGTTTGTGCCAGCTAGCAAACATGTTCACAGTATCTCAGACCTCACGAGCGTGGTTCATCGATAGAGCCCGGCAGGCCCGAGAAGAGCGGCTGGTGCAGAAGGAGCGGGAGCGTGCGGCTGTGGAGATTCAGGCCCACGTGCGCAGTTTCTTGTGTCGGAGAAGCCTGCACAGAGATATTAGGTAGGTGCCAGGAATTCTGCAGCATGTTTCTCTTGCTCCCAAGTAGTAGAAAACAAATGGCAGGTGCTGGTGGCTTATGCCTGTCATTGTAACTATTCAGGAAGCTGAGATCTGAGGATCATGGTTCAAAGGTAGCCTGGGCAGAAAAGTTCGTGAGACTCTTACCTCCAACTGAAGCACCAATAGGCCGGAAATAGCTGTGGCTCCATTGTGCCTTAAGCAACAAAGTTCAGTGATAGTACCCAAGCCACACACACACACACACACACACACACACACACACACACACACACACACACAACAAAGTTCAGTGATAGTACCCAAGCCACACACACACACACACACACACACACACACACACACACACACACACACACACACACACACACACACACCACAAGAAGAGACAGTATCCAGATTAGTACTGACAAAAAGAGAAAAGACAAATGAGTTTTCCCTTAGAGTGCTTAAAAAGCCTTCCAGCAATCATGAGCTCCTAATTAAAAATGCCTTTTCTTTAACCCTTTCCTCCATAGGAGAGAGATTGATGAGTTTTTTAAAGCAGATGACTCTGGATCCAGTAAAAGAAGTGCACTTTGTATTTTTAAGACTGCCAGAAAACTGCTGTTCATATTCAGAATCAAAGAAGATAATGAGGTAAGTCATAAGAATAAGCATACCAGGGCTTTGTATAAGTACTTTTTAGATACAAACTCATTGGTTCTTAGAGCACCTCTGGGAGAAAGGCATTTTTACCCCTTCACCTGCCCCCTTTGTTTTCTTGGAACCTGCTCTGCAGAGATTATGCCCAACAAGCCTGAGCAGGACTACGATGCATTTAGGAGCTGTGCAGCCTGGGACAAAGCACCATGTAAAGTAGGAATCACAATAGTCAGTGGCTGATAGGTTTCAGGGAGTAGTCTATGCTAGTCAGGTACTGAGGCAGAGGACCCGTACTCTTGATTTTTTTTAAGAGATGCTGGAGATCTGGGTCTTTTTATGCTTGATGTTCTAATATGTCAAAGTTTGTGGCTAATTTGATTTTTCTTTCACATCCTGTAAACCAAACCAAACATACCAATCTGCATTTTGGGGATTAGAGTAACTAGAAAACATCCTCAGGAAAGCAGTAGGCATCTCAGTGCTGAGCATACCCTTGAGGTCCTGCAAGGAAACCAGACAGACAAGTTGTATACCCTCATGGCACTCCTAGCCCAGTAGGAGAGGAAGAAGAACCCAAGAAAGACCACACAGTCATGAGGATAGGTACAGACAAACTCCATTAAGAGCGGGGAAACTTGGGACCACAGTTTTCAGGGTGGATCTAGGGCTTCTATAGCCACAGTGCAATCTGTTTGCCTGCTTCCACTTTCCTTTTTTGTGTCAGGATCAAAGCAATGATACAGTGAGAAGTAGCTCAGAGTACCACAACAATGAGCTGTGAGCAGAACTCAGTGTCCCTGCTGCTTACAGCATGACAGACTGCAGAGCACTAGTCAGCAGACAGCTGCCAGGCTGCAGGAATCCAGGCCCAGTTTTCCAAAAGAAGCCCTATCCTGGATTTCTATGTGGAATACATACATTTCTCAAACACATCTGGAAGGCTCATCCTGCCTATAGGCAGTTTGAGACTCTGTCCTTAGCCTTCCGTCCTCAACTTCCACATCTGTAAGAAGGAACTAAGTGTGACATGAATCACCTGACGTGTTGCCTGCCTGTGCCAGTCCCCACCACACTTGTGTTCCCTCCACCCCCTTTCCCACATTCAGGTTCATTGAGAGTCTCTAATCCCTTTCTGTCTCCATAGCGGTTCGAGAAGTTGTGTCGCTGTATCCTCAGCAGCATGGATGCTGAGAGTGAGCCTAAGGTGAGCGGGTGAGGAGCCGGGAGCCTTCCCCAGCCCTAAGGGCCAACATCTTCCCCACTGAGAGTTCCTGCTGAGTTTAGGACTTTAACTTTCACACGTGTGCAAATAAGTCACAGACTTGCACAGACAAAAGTATGTGCAAATAATTCCTTGATCTTCATTGTCCAAGAAGCTATGTTTTGTGTTTACCCCTTAACTCAGGATAGCATACACTTTTCTAGACTCCTCATCTTTTTTTTTTGTTGTTTATTTTTTGAGATTCTAGGGTTTGGAGTTTGAACCCAAGAGTTTCATGCTTGGCTAGATCGGTGCTCTACCACTGAGCCATGCCTCCAGCCCTTTTTTGTACTGGTTATTTTTTGAGCTAGGATCTCACTTCCTGCATGAGCGCACACTCACTTAGGCCCCGATTCTCCAGTGTTTAACCTTCTGGCTGTAGCTAGGATGACAGGAACACGACACCTCACCCAGTTTCTTTCATTGAAATGGACTCTTACAACCTTTTCTGTCTGACTAGTTCTGGCCTAGAACCAGTCTTTTCAACCTCAGCCCTCCTCCATAGCTAGGAGCACAGGCATGCATCATCACACCTAGCTGTAGGTTAAGGGGGGCAGTCTCACAAACTTCTCAAGTCCTCTCCATCTCAGCCTCCCAGGTAGCTATTAGAGGCACAAGCCAACTGCACCTGACTTGGGCCCTCTTCTTTGGATTTAGTGTTGAAAAGCCCTGCTGTCTGTCTGTTTATTCATCTGTTTTCCTCACTGCCTTATTGGACAATGGCCCTAGCTAGCAGGTCCAGTTCCGGTGGTCACACCATGTATAGTAAGGTCCTGTACCCAGTCACTCCTCTTTGTCCTGCTTATAGGTATGGTACGTGTCCCTGGCTCTCTCCAAGGACCTCACTCTCCTATGGATTAAACAGATCAAGGACATTCTGTGGTACTGCTGTCAATTTCTTGAGCAGCTCAAGGTAAAAAGAGGGGGGAAAAATCTGAAATCTCATTCTATCAGACAGCTTTCATGGATATTTTCAGAGTCCCCATCCTTCCCTCATTGTCTAGGCCTTTGTTGATCTATCAGTGCTTATCTAGTAAGGAATAACTGGCTGAGCCACTGTTTGGAGAGAAAGCTAGAAGTTAGGTAGATGCAGTGGCCATTCTGAGCCCCTCTTTGCTATAATATGTGGGACCATTGACCACACTTGCAAGCCTCGATGCTAAGGAATTCTGTCTTCCTTCCTGGTCTTTGGATATAGTGGATACTTTGTGTTGTGGTATTTATACCATGTTATCAAATTGGCCTCTTCTGTTACAGCTTTTCTCCCCCCCTTTCATGATTTCTTCCATGCATATGAAGTACTTGATCATAGTCACTCCCCCACCATTCATCCTTTCACCTTCCAGCTTCTTCCTGCAAACAGTGGTTACCTGTCATCCTAATGAGAACAATAATTAGAAACCAAAGCACAGATAGGCAAAGAAACTTGCCCAGGATGACAAGCCAGAAGTGAGAGTTCCGAATCACTGTCAGGCTCAGCAGCATTTCCCACTCTGTGGCAACCGTGTCCAAACACACAGACAGGTACAGGCACATATGGCCAGCCTGCTCACATGATTCCTGGAGAACGCTCACTTCTCCCTTCCCAGGAATGTTTGATTGAGTTGCTGAAGGACTGGTGTGACAAGACCTGTGGTCCTTCCCAGAGGAAAGTGCGCCCCTGGGCCTCTGACCCACTGGTGCCAGTCAGCGCACAGAGGAGAATCGTAAAGGGATGCTCTCTGTGTGAGGCAGAGGTTGTGTGTTCTAATCCTTCCTTTGTTGTTTCCAGCCTGAAATCCTACAAGACTCCAGACTCATCACCCTGTACCTCACGATGCTCGTCACCTTCACAGACACTTCAACATGGAAAATTCTCCGGGGCAAAGGTCTCAAAATTCCTGCCTCACCAGCATTGCCTTGGGGGAGGGGAGGAGGCACTATTTCTCCTTTGTAAGAAACATCTTTGTGCTGTGGCCTAAGCCCATAATCCTAGCTACTTGGGAAGCAGAGACCTAGGCGTGAGGGGATCACGATTCAAGGCTACCTCAGGCCAGAAGAAGAAAAAGTTTATAGGACTCCCATCTCAACTAATGACTCGGCTCAGTGGCACACACTCTCATCCCAGAGACTCGTGGAAGCACAAATTAGAGAATCACAGTCAGGCCAACCTGGCATAAAGCAAGACTTTGTCTTGAAAATGGCCAATACAAAAAGGGGCTGATATGCTCTAAACATGGGCAGATCCTGAGCCCAGCCCAGGAAGCAGAGGTGGCACGAGGGAGAGTAGAAAGCGGCAGCCCTGGGAGAGGGATGGGAAAGGAGTCACGAGAGCTCAGAGGCAGTGATGTTCTCCTGGTCACGGGAAGGAAGGGGCCCAGCCCCAAGAAGAGACACTTGAGCCAAGCCTTCCAGGAGAGATAGGATCCAATGCTGTCCTAGGAACTAGGAAGGCAAGCCATGAGTGTCACATTTCCTCGTGACCCCAGGCCCAAGGCATCATTTTCTGTCCTATATAATTAGGGCGTGTTATAGCAAGAAATACTTTCTCAGATTTCTTTCTTCCTTTAGGTGAGAGCCTTCGACCAGCCATGAACCACATTTGTGCAAATATAATGGGGCATCTGAACCAGCGTGGATTTTATTCTGTGCTGCAGGTCAGTGCTCATCCACTCTCAACCCCTGAGTTGGCGTTGGCATGGGTTTTGGCATGCCTGGAGCCCTCCTCCCAGAAGCATTTATTTCAGGAAAAGGCCGATTCACAGTGCCCTTCCCTCCTGTGCTCTATGTCGGGTGGCCTGCAGTTCGGGTAGAAGATGGACAGAGCCACTAGTCCCTGTTCACACTCAGCTCTAGGTCATTATGCTGGAGGGAAGCCTCAGGCTTGTTCCTTCTGGCTCCTTGGTTATGTCTGGAGTACATATCTCCCTCATTTTCACTTGACCCTCAGCCCAAGCCTCACTCATGGTATTCCCTTCACACCTGAGGAACCGGCAAAGCCTCACTACTGCTCTGAAAAGGAGCATTCATCTTCCTTCTGCCTGGCACTGCACTGAGCTGTTTTCTGGTCTGGCGTCAGGTTCTCTTCAAGACAGCCCTGTAATGTAAAGGGTCTGTCAATATTTTATTGTCTATTCTATGCTAATTCTGAGCTGCACTGAAATGAGATGCTGTCTCCATATTTAAGACAAGTATTCATTTGACACACGTTTTTGCTGTTCTTCCCTTTCAAAAGCAGTTAGGTCTTGCTCTGTATACTAGATTTGCCCAAACTCCTGGGCTCAAGACATCCTCCTGCCTCAGTCTCCTGAATAACTCGGACTACAGCAGATTGCTACTGTGCTCAGTTCTCCGCTGTTAATTTTTTTTTAACTTTTACTCTGGCATAATCATAATATTTCAAGTAGCAAGAGAGTAGTAGGACAAACCTTCCAGACTCAGAACCTTCCTTTTCCTTTGCAAAGGCTCTAAAGCACTCGTTTTACTTCATTTTCCCCCCTTAATGTACCAACTGACATAAAGCTGGTGTTATCCACTGACCAGTGAAATGTTCTTTTCAGGTGTTGTTAACCCGAGGCCTAGCCAGACCCCGGCCTTGTCTGTCCAAAGCCACTTTAACAGCAGTCTTTTCTCTAGCACTGCGGTAAGTAGGACCTTACCAAGAGGCTGGCTGCACCTGCTCTTGGTTTTCTTTTCTTTTTTTTTTTCTTTTAGTACTAGGATTTGAGTTCAAGGCCTTGTACCTGCTAGACAGCTATTCTGCCACTTCAGGTACACCCCTCCAACCATTTCTTTGCTTTGGTTACCTTTTTAGTTATTAGATTTTTTTTTTTTAGTTTTATTATTTAGTTATTTTAGGGTTTCACATTTCTGCCTGGGTCCAGCCCTAGACTAAGATCCTCCTGCTATAACCGCCTTTACATCTGTGATTACAGATGCGTATCACCATGCCTGTTTTATTTATCCAGATGGAGGTCTTCTTTGTGCCTGGGCTGACCTTGAATCATGGTCCCCTGATCTCTGACTTCTGAATAGCAAGGAGTAAAAGCAGATGGATGAGCTACATCTAGGCAGATGTAGCTATATCTGGCTACAGTAGCTTTTTTGTTGTTGGTGGTGGTGGTTGTGGGGCTTGAACTCTGGGCCTGGGCGCTGTCCCTCAGCTCTTCAGCGCAAGGCAAGCACTCTACCACTTGAGCCACAACACAGCTTCTGGTTTTCTGAGTGGTTTATTGGAGATAAGAGTCTCACAGGGCTGGGAAGGTGGCTCAGTAGTAGAGTGCTTGCCTTGCATGCATGAGACCCTGGGTTCGATTCCTCAGCACCACATAAGCAAAAAGAAAAAAGCCGGAAGTGGTGCTGTGGCTCAAGTGGTAGAGTGCTAGCCTTGAGCTGAAGAGCTGAGGGACAGCACCCAGGCCCAGAGTTCAGGCTCCACAACTGGACCCCCCCCCCCCCCCAAAAAAAAAAAAAAAAAAGAGTCTCACAGACTTTCCTTTCCTGCTCAGGCTAGCTTTGAACCATGATCCTCAGATCTCAGCCTCCTGAGTAGCTAGGATTTCAGACAGGAGCCACCGGTGCCTGGCAACAGTAACATTTTTTATCTATCTTTTAGCCTTTTTTGTATTCATATATATTTATGTGTTTGTGTGTATATTTTAAATGTTAATATGAGGCTAATTCAATTTTTAATAAACTGTATAAGGCATTAGTGAGTTACTACCAAGTGAATACACTTGAGTAAGAACTACTTACTTGATTGAGACATTGCCTGTACTAGAAGTGTTGTTTCCGCATTCTCAATATAATCCCTTCTCCCATCTATGTAGATTTGGAGCTTCCTTTTTCCATTTTACAGTTTATTATAGAATTAGCATTTTCCTTATTGTGGAATGGTTTTTTCACAGCTGTGTAGATCCGTAACAAAGTGGGCATAACCCACTTTTCAGGCAGTATTTTGGGGAAGTCCTGGGAACTGGAAATTTGGGGCATAAGGGCCTTGACAGGCTGCTGTTTAGTCTTTAGTTCTGAGTGCACCCGGGTTCCTGTCTCAACGAGTTCATCTATCTGTGTCCAGCCCTGTGACTGCTGCACAATTTTCAGACAATCTGCTCCGGCCCTTTCTCATTCATATCATGTCGGTCCCTGCCCTCGTGACTCATCTTGGCACAGTGACCCCAGAGGTAAGTGGGCTCCATGAGCATTCCCCCCAAAACCAACACTATTTTGCTTTTGTTCTTAGAATTTGGAAAGTAAAAGGATTTCCCTGCCAGTTCTCACTCCTTCCCCTTTTCTCTACATCAGTAACCAGTGTAGATAGATTTGTGTTAGGAGCCTGGTGCAATGTGGGTCTTGTCCTGATCCTTTCTCTTCTTGGTGCTGGAGATCATGCTCTGCATCACCTTGGCGACCAGCAGTCTGTCAAGTTTGTGTCTTCAGGGAAACTTGGTCAGTTTCCACTTTTAACTGTCTGCTGTCATTTGCCATTTGTAGCGCCTCACTGTCTTAGAATCTCATGACATGCTACGGAAATTCATCGTGTTCTTAAGAGATGAAGAGCGATGCCGGGACGTGTGTGAGACTTTAGAAGGCTGCCACACACTGTGTCTGACTGGTGAGTATTGGAAGATTCTGGCCATTGAGGGAAGCCCCAGTATTTTGCTGCAATCATCAGTTTTTAGTAACAACACAAAGTACTTATTATAAGTACCTGTATTCAGAGAGGTAGTTAAGGTAGATGCAAAGTTAAAAATGATCTGGAAAACTGGCCTGACATGCTAGATGTCTTGACTATAAGGGAACACTGGATTTCAGCTCTTGGCTTTTTAGGGACCAAGGGAAAATTGAAAGTTGATGAGTAGCCTAGGTGATTCAGAAGGAAAGAGGAGGGAGCCTCGAAGTGAGCCTTGAATTGAAGAAGCCCCCAAAGTGCCTCACCTCTTCTGCAGTGCTTTCACTTAGACGAAGGAAGGGCTTGCGGAAGTGTTGGGAAATGGTGGAGGCAGAATCCTCACTGCCTGTGAGGAGAAATTTAGATAGAGAAGGGATCTTGGGGCTGAATTTTAAGCGACTGTCTGGTAAGTCTACACACAGGGGATATTAAGGGATTGGTAAACACTGAATACCAAAAAGTTCAGTCACTCATTTCCTGCCCATTCATTTTAATGTTGGTGTCATAAGTGTGACAGTAAATGTCACATTCGTCTGTGCACCTGACACTGCACACTCTTCATACCATCCTCCCATGAGGAAGAGGGGGTCATTATTCAACCTAGGAGATAAGGAAACACAGTCAACAGACACATATTTGTCTGGCCAAGCCACAGTTTGCAGTCGTACTGACAAATGCCTCTCACATGAAATTTCTTCCTGCGCATACCCTGTGGCTGCCTGAGTCACAGGCAGAAAACACGGCTGGGAGGCCCCTGAGCATGTCTGTCTAGCCCATCCCTCGGCCTTCTCTCTGTATAGGCAACCTCCTACAGCTGGGCTCCCTCAACCCCAGAGTGTTAGAAGAGGAAACAGACGGGTTTGTGAGCCTGCTCACCCAGATGCTGTGCTACTGTCAGAAGTATGTGTCCCAGAAGAAGTCCAACCTGACCCACTGGCATCCGGTCCTCGGCTGGTTCTCCCAGTCTGTGGACTATGGGTAAGTAAGTCCTGGAGATACATGGCTGCCTTTCCTGCCCTTCCTCTTGCTACCTCCTCTCTTCTTTATTTCTTCCAGCTGCTGTTGTTTGTTTCTTGTTACAAAAATAGTGTGCATTCTTTGTATAAAATAGAGATAAGGACTGAGGTTGTATCCATAGGAACACAGTTGAATAGCATGGCCGAGGTGTCCAGGGTTCTATCCCTAGCACCACAAAAAAATAAAATAGTAAAAGAAAGAAAAAATAAATAGAAGCCGGGCGTCAGTGGCTCACACCTGTAAATTCTAGCTACTCAGGAGGCTGAGATCTGAGGATCGAGGTTCAAAGCCAGCTCCTGCAGGAAACTCCATGAGACTCTTATCTCCAATAAACCACTCAGAAAACCAGAAGTGGCACTGTGGCTCAACTGGTAGAGTGCTAGCCTTGAGCTGAAGAACTAGGGGACAGAGCCCAGGCCCAGAGTTGAAGCCCCATGACCAACAACAACAACAAAAAAAATAGAGATAGGACCAAGACAATAATTAATAACCCATAATGCTAATGCCCAAAGGTGACCTTTCAACATTTTTTCTTTTTCTTTTATTTTCCTATCCTGGGGCTTAAACTCAGGGCCTACCTGCTGTCCCTGTGCTTTTTGTGTTCAAGGCTAGCACTCTACCACTTGAGCCACAACTTCACTTCCAGCTTTTTTGGTGCTTCATTAGAGATAAGAATCTCATAGACTTGCCTGCCTAGGCTGGCTTTGAAGCTTAATCCTCAGATATCAACCTCCTGAGTAGCTGGAATTACAGGCAATCCTCAGATATCAACCTCCTGAGTAGCTGGAATTACAGATATGAGCCACCAGCACCTGGCTTCTTTCAGCCTTTTTCAGTGATGATAGTTTTTCTTATAAAAATAAGATCATTAGGCTGGGAATGTGGCTCAGTAGTAGAGTGCTTTCCTCGCATGCATGAAGCCCTGGGTTTGATTCCTCAGCACCACATAAACAGAAAATGCCAAAAGTAGCACTGTGGCTCAAGTGATAGAGCGCTAGCCTTTAGCAAAAAGAAGCTCAGGGACAGCGTCCAGGCCCTGAGTTCAAGCCCTAGGATCAGGGGAAAAAAAAAAAAGAGAGAGAAAGAGAGAGAGAGATCATATGATTTTGTATTTTATTCTTCTCATTAATCAGTTGTGAACCTAATGTGTGGATGCTTTTTCTTCTTCAACATCATTTTTATTGATTGCCTGGGCTGCTATATTTTGGAGCTGCTAGAATGAGACAGATGACTGAAAGGGACAACAGTTACCCTTGTCCTTTACAGGAGGTAGAAATCAACTCTGCCCTTCCTCATTCAGAACATAAGCAATGGAAACATTAGGGAAGAGGCAGAGCACCAGGGTGGATGAGCTGAGCAGAGGCTGGGGCTGAGGCAGGGCTAGGCCAGTGGTGCCACCTTTTCCCTTCAGCCTAAGTGACAGCCTGGAGAGAATGGGGCTTGTGTGCTTGGAGTCAGGAGAGATTTCCTAGGGACCAAGTGTTCTGGGCTCCACTACCTCTTCCCAAGGGCCTTTAGCTCAGGTTCCTCATCTGGAGTATGAGATGATCGTCCTAGCCCCTCTGGCAGGATAATCTTGAAGGATGGAATGAGACACACACTACACATGAAATATATTGCACACATTGCATGGAGAGGGTTACCAACTGGTTTGTGCTCAGTAGGTGGCGGCTGTCCCCACTGGGGAGGGGGAGGGAGCCAGCTGGGGGCCTTGAGCCAGACAAGTAATGCAGAAGATTCCACGAATGGGCACACACTTGGGGCATTGTCTGGAATGGAGAGGAGCCCTAGAGGCATGGATGCTCTGAGCCATCTAGATGGAGTCTAGGGAGAGGCAGGCAGCCGGCACAAGGCAGTGGTAAGGGGTCTGCAAGATGACACTAACCTGGGGAAATCAATTGTGCTAGAAGCAGCACAGGAAGTCTGGGTGGAACAGTACACAAGATTCCTTATCCTGCTGGTCAGCAGTGACTCACGCCTATAATCCCAGCTACTCAGGAGGCTGAGACCTGAGGGTCATGCTCTGAAGCCAGGCCAGATAGAAAAAGTCTGTGAGGCTCATATCTTCCATTTAACTATTAAAAAGCCAAAAGTGGAGCTGTTGCTCAAGTGGTAGAGTGCTAGTCTTCAGCGAAATCTCAGGGACAGTACGCAGGCCCTGAGTTCAAGCCCCAGGACCTGTACACACACACAAAAATTCCATGTCTTCACATACTTGGCCCTTGGTGGTTGGGCTGGTCCATTTCATATGTTTTTTGTTTTTGTTTGTTTGTTTTGAGACAGGGTCTTACTTTGTAGCCCAGTCTGGTCTTGCTTCATCTGTCTCTGCCTCCTGAGCACTGGGATTACAGGTGTGGATCACCACATCTGGCTCAATTCTTATCTTTTTATTAACTTCCCTGCCATGGGAATGCTGGCTGCATTTGCATGATGAAGGCTCACAGGGGAATGGAGTGGGCCAGGCAGCTGGCCAGGCAGAGGTGGGGCTGACATGCTTGTCTCCTGCTCCTCTCTCCCAGCCTCAATGAGTCCATGTACTTGATCACCAAGCAGCTGCAGTTCCTGTGGGGGGTGCCTCTCATCCGCATCTTCTTCAATGACATCCTCAGCAGGAAGCTACTGGAACACCCAGAGCCAGCCCCCGCTCAGCCGGCGTCCCCCCAGAACGCGCTCCCCGTGAAGAGTGAGTGACAAATGAGCCCTAGTACTCTTAGTAGCTGGAGGGCACTTCCTGTTTCTTCCCCTGGGGAGGCCTCATCTCTGTGAGTTGCTCTGACTTCTCCTATGGACATTCTTAAATCAAGGCCATAGTTAGCAAGACAATGACAAGAAACCATAGGAATAGAAAGCAGCCAGTTGTCTGTAAGGAACAGCCACAAATACATATTCTACAAGGGCTGTTGCTGCCTTTTTCTGAACCTTAGTTTGGCTGTTAACTTTCTAGTGTCCAAAAGAAGAGGGGGGGGAACATTCCTTAGGGAACACAAAGCTTTTCTGGTTTTTAATCATAGAAGAGCCACTGAGTCAGGTGCTGGAGCTCACCTAACTACTCAGAAGGCTGAGATCTGGGGATCATACTCTAGAGCCAGCCTGGGCAGAAAAGTCTGTGAGATTCTTGTTTGCAATAAACCAGCAAAAAGCCAGAAGTGGAAGTATGGCTCAAATGATAAAGCAAAAGCCAAGTGAGTATACAAGGCCCTGAGTTCAAACTCCGAAACTAGTGCAAAAAAAAAAAGCTGAGTTCCAACTCCTCAGCACTTATTCTGCAGGGCAGAAGTGGGTACTATGGAAAGATTCCTTGCTCACACTCTGATAAAAGTTAAGGAAATGCCAGCTGGATGTGGTGGCACACATCTATAATCCTAGCAGCTAGGAAGATTACCAATTCTAGGCCAGCCTACACTACAGAGGGAGACCCTGTCTCAAACAAATCAGAACAACCATAATCCAAAGTTAAGGAAATTGTGACTAGCATATGCTGTATAGAGCTACCTCCCACAGCACATTCTGTTTGGCATGGCTTTGCTACCACTATGTATTGTGTGGCTGTTTCTTGTAACTGGTGATGGACATGACCTGAGCATCTGTACTGCAGGATACAGGTAGGAGGAGGCTTAAGACAAAAGTAGAAAACCACTCCAGACCATGAGTCAGTTTCCTGACCACCAATACCCCTAAACCTCTCCCTGCCAAAGCCTAGAGAACTGAGATTCAGATGGGCCCCCACCTTTACCTCCTCCCCTAGTAATGCTCCTTTTGAGTTTTTACCTTTGGGATAATAAAAGAATCCTATATCAGACTCAAACATGCCTGATGTGTTCTAAAAAGTGTTGATATTTTGAAGAGGTCTTGGGTTACACCTCAAATCCATTCACTAAACATTCTTCCAGTTTATCCTGCAGGACTGTGCTGAGCCCAAGCAGCAGCCCTGCTGTGTGGCCTGGCTGTAGGGTTGGTGTTGGGGAGTTTTTATCAACACTCCTTTGCCCAGACCAGATAGGATACAGTAGATGGCTCAACTTCTGTTGATGTCTTCTCTCTTCTATGTCAGGTCTCCTCAAGCGTGCATTCCAGAAGTCTGCGTCGGTTCGGAATATTCTAAGGCCAGTAGGGGGCAGACGTGTAGACTCTGCGGAGGTGCAGAAAGTGTGCAACATCTGTGTCCTCTACCAGACCTCCCTGACCACGCTCACCCAGATCCGCCTGCAGATCCTCACAGGTGGGAGGCCCGGGGTGCTGCCCCCCTCTCGAAAACGTCACACCGGTTTTGCTCAGAGAAAGTTCTTTTTTTTTTTTTTTTCTTGACTCAGAAGATTAAATTTTGAGCTGGAGGCATGACTTAAGTTATCCAGTGCCTGTCAGCAAGCACAAAGCCCTGAGTTCAAATCCTGCCACCCAGTGAAAGACAAAAATGTAATTTTTGAAGGGAAGTGTTTTTAAGCTGCGTTTTGTTTGTTTCTTTTTGGAGATAGGTATGCCTATCTTACACAGAATAACTTACACAAAATAAGTGTTTTGGCCAACATGAAAATCCATATTTAAGTCAGATTATAGAAAATAGTATCTTCCCAGGTACCAGGTACCCAGCCCTGCTTCGGTTACTCTCGCCTGGCTCTTAATTTTAGTTATGAAGTACAACTTTAACAAGTTATTTTTTTTTTCTGACTAGAACCTTAGGAACGACTAGCAGGCAGAAAGAAGTAATAATTTCACAACCCAAAGACAAACAGTATAGCTGAGTATGCCACACCTACGATAGAAATATTTAAACAACATGCCATCCCCCTTCCTTCATTAGCCATTTTATAAACATTTTCTCATGTCAGTAATTCTCTTCAGAAACCTCATTTCATTGGCCATATGGTATCTCATCTCGTGGATAGGCCCAACAGTTGGTTTTTTTTTTCCCCTTTTAGCTGAGCAAGCAAAGTCTCTTCTATAAGCACAGAATTGGGCGTCAGGACTTTGTAGGGTACAGCTCAGCAGTTCTGGGGAGGAGTTGGTATTCTGAGCACAAAAGGTCTTTGTGAGCTGTGAAAGCTTTTGAAGGATTAAAAGTTTCTCTGCTGTGTTGCATAGTTTTGAAATCCCGTGCAAGGCGCTGTGGATGTAGAGGTGGACACTAGCCAAGGGCTGTCCCTGAGGGGAGCATCTTACAGGATGGTGAGAATGGCTGAATGGAGGGGAAGATGCAAGGAGGGCACCATGAGAAGGAAAGGTAGCCTTGGCCTGGAGTGGGCTTTGTGAGCTGAGTAGTACAGTTGCCTCAGGCCAGCTTGCTCTTTATTGTAAGGCTGTCCTGTGTTAGAAGAAGTCTGCCAGCTAGGCACCGGGTGGCTCATGCCAATCATCCTACCTACTCAGGAGGCAGAGATCTGAGCATCACTGTTTAAAGCCAGCCCAGGCAGAAAAGTCCCTGTGAGATTCTTATCTCCAATTAATCACTCAAAAACTACAAGTGGACCTGTGGCTCAAAGTGGTAGAGCGATAGCCTTGAGTAAAAAGAACTCAGGGACAGCGCCGAGGCCCTGAATTCATGCCTCACAACCAGGGAGAAAAAAGAAGGCAGCCAGCCCTGTGCAGTAGCACCTCCTCACAGTTGCATCAATCTCGGAGGTGGCTGAATGGTCCCAGGTTGAACACCTTGGTCTGGTGGAGGCATTAGAGCTGGAAGCACAGACTGCATGCATTTCAGAGGTGCTGTCTGTAGACTTCCTGGGAAAATGGATTGGGGGTATGAGGAGTAAAGGTAGCAAAGTGGTCCTAGGTTTGGGGTCTGAGTATAGATGGTGGAGAAGGGGCATGGCCTGTGGGGAACTGAGAGTTGTGTTGGACCGGGATAGAGTAGGTGCTAGCCTGCACATTGGGGTAACCAAGGCCTCTGTGCACACTGCCTTGAGCAAGGTCCTGGGAGAGACCAGAGGAGGAGAAGAAAGCAGAGACCATACACGGCTGGGGCTCCAAAGCACTGGGAGCATCTTGGGGCGAGAATTTTGAGGTTACTGCCTGGGTCCAGCTCTCTAAAATGAGCTCATATCTCAGTTCATTTTCCCAAAAGAGAGAGTCACAAAATAAGTGTTTTGGCCAACATGAAAATCCATATTTAAGTCAGATTATAGAAAATAGTATCTTCCCAGGTACCAGTGGTTCATGCTATAATCCTAACCACTTATGAGGCTGAGATCTGAGGATCACAGTTCAAAGCCAATCTGAACAGGAAAAGTTCATGAGACTTACCTTCAAGGAACCACCCAAAAAGCCAGAAGTGGAGGTGTGGCTCAAGTGGTAGAGTACTAACCTTGAGCAAAAATGCTCAAGGACAGTACCCAGGCCCTGTGTTCAAGGCCCTAGGACCAGCACAAAAGAAAGGAAGAGGGAGGCAGGCAAGCAAACAGCTTCTAAAATACTGCTTTTGTAATCTCACAGCTAAGGATAGGTCTCTGATCTGGCTCCTCGCATGCCCCCAAGGCACCAGCGCTGTGCTGGTCCTCCTCCTCGCTCCAGGGCACAGCATCCCTGCTGTGGCTAAAGCGCAGGGCACGAGGAGCCTGGCTTAATGTATACTTTGATCCCATTTCTGAGGTTACGTTTCTAAGTCCAATTTACAATTCTTTCTGTTCACCTCTAAGCAGCCTTCAGTAGCATTCAGTGGCCCACAGCCTCACCCCACACTACTGTGTCTACCCCCACAGTCCATTCAGAACCAAAGAACTCACAGAAGACTTTATAACATGAGAAGAGTAAGGGCTCAAATATAAGTTACTGCTTTGCTGATGCATGCAACCTTACTATCCAGACTTCCTAAGTCACCGGCCGCACTGTAACTTCAAACACACCAGCCATGAGTCAGTCTGAAGCCTCAGAGCCTCAGGAAGCAGACTTGAAATGGCTTCTGCTCCGCAAGGTTAAATCTATATAGCCCAGTGTCTCTGTTACAGTCCTTCATCACTTTTCCATGTTGAATTCAGAGTAATCATAGATGAGAGGAACATATTACTAAATGTGGGTGGATCTGACGGTGAGAGACAGGTGTCTGCCTGTGGCCCCAAGCCAGCACACCACTGATTTTTGTAAATTAACTTGTGTTAGATCACAACCAAATCCGTACATTTACAGAATGTCCGCGTCTGCTTTGGGCTAGCCCTGAGCAGTATGCAGATGCCCACATCCTGTGCCCTCACCTGATGACCACACCCTACCTTAGCCTGTAAAGTCACTGGAAGCCTGACTTAGGAGAAGATAATTGCAACATACCGCTAAGCCAAACAGAGCAGCAATCTACAGTCAGCCCCTGGCAGCCCACTGAGCCCATGTTCAACATAAAGAAAGCACTGAGCTAGAATAAAGGCTGCCCGCTCACCTTCAGAGACTCTGAACCTCTGCTGGTCCAGCACGGCCCAGGATGCCAGTCATTCTTTGCTCAATTAAACTCTGCTAGATTTAATTTGTTTCAAGGGTTTTTTTTTTAATTATGATTATAGCAAGAGACCATCTGGCCCACAAAGGCTAAAAACATTGACTCTCTGAACCTCTCCAGAAGAAACTTGCTGATCCAAAATATAATTGCTAAGACAGATAGATCTGGGTTCTCCTCCTGGCTCTGCTGCTTACTGGCTCACGCCCATTCAACATTAGGATCATTGTGATACTCTCGGTGATGGTTTTCTGATTTGCACACGTTGACTGTTCACTAAGAGGTTTCAGTGTTCGTTTTTCCAAGGGAAAAGAGACACAGCGGGTCAGCTGGAGCCCCCACCTGAAGCTTGGATTTCTCTGTCCTTTTCCAGGTCTCACTTACCTTGATGACCTGCTGCCCAAACTGTGGGCATTTATCTGTGAGCTGGGGCCCCATGGAGGGTTAAAGCTCTTCTTGGAATGCCTGAACAACGACACCGGGGAGTCCAAGCAGCTCTTGTCCATGCTGATGCTGTTCTGTGATTGTTCCCGACACCTCATCACGTAGGTGGCTGTGGTGGGGCCAAGGACCTACCCCTAGTCGACATGGCGGGAAGCAGGCGGCTGATGGGGGGATGGCCACAGACATGTGGACCTGTGGGACAGGGTCAGTGCAGTGGTGCACACCCGTAGTTCCAGCTATTCAGAAGGCTTGAGTTCATGATCACTTGAGACCAGGCTTGAGCAATGTAGCAAGATCCCATCTCAAAAACAAAAAATGCTGGGAAGGTGGCTTAGTGGTAGAGTGCTTGCCTGGCATGCACGAAGCCCTGGGTTCGATTCCTCAGCACCACATACACAGAAAAAGCCAGAAATGGTGCTGTGGCTCAAGTGGTAGAATGCTAGCCTTGAGTGCCCAGGCCCTGAGTTCAAGCCCCAGGACTGGCAAAAAAAAAAAAAAAATTACAAATAGGATAGCATATACTGCACGTACATCACTTGTTCCCATCCTATCAGGGAAGTTGAATCAGTACCAATCAACAGATCAAGGGAGCTCTTAGAAATGGGTTCAAAATCACAGCTTAACTGTTTACTTATTAATGTGCTAGGAAGACTACTGGAAAATTCCAGAGCCAGAGAACAAAACCTGAATCAGCCAGTTACTGAGACAATCCTGGGATTCGGCCTTGCTGAGAGTTTCCTCTTCTAGAAATAGGAATAACAACATGACCTTCCTGTTAGGCATGTAGTAAAGATTAAGAGAGAATTAATGCCAAGTTTGGGCAAGTTGCTTAGCTTCTCTGAGCCTCAGTTTTTTATTAGTAGAATAGAGATATCACCAATCTGCTAGAGTCAGCGAGGGAAGGAATGTCAGGTACTTAAAACTGAGTATTTGTCAAAAACTTAGTACTTCATTCCAAGTGGGAAATTGATTGTGTACTCGTCCATGTGTGCGTTTGACCCTTTTACTCTGCTTTCTCCTGGAAGGTTGGTAAAGAATTCTAAGATAGAGTAGGTCCCCAGCAGTTACGTTCAAGCAAGAGAGGATCGGGGCGGGAAGTGACAGGTGGAGTGGGCATCATGGAAGGGCTCAATGAGCAGGCGGAGGCCAGAGCAGGGCCTGTGGGCCAGGAAAGGCACCACTTTCAACTGCTAAGGTCCAGGCCATTCCTGGAGTGAGTCATGTTGGAAAGCTGTAGTTTTAGGGAGAGCTGTAGCTCACGTGTTCATTCATTTATTCATATATTCTTTCTGACATGTGTTCATTCCCTCACAAATACTTTTGTCATGTGCTGGAGTCAAGCTCCACAGCCTTCCTCAGTGACCACACTCAGTCACGGTTTCTTCCTCTGCAGGCATGAAGGAGGCTTGAAGTAAGAAAGTGTTGTTTTGTTTTGTTTTGTTTTTAATTGTCCCTGACCAGGACTTGAACTTGATATCTGATGCATACTTTCGCCTGCCAGTAAGAAAAATGTAGGAATAGAGGTTTGGTAGGGTTTCTCTTAGTTGTATTTTTTTTTTTAATATAGCTACTGTGGACAGTTTCACGTAAAGAGAAAGCAGAAAGACTCAAGCAGCCCACGTGCCACCACTAGCTTTGGCAGCTACTAGCTCACAGCCAGTCCTACGCCAGCCAAATCACCACGGGCCTCCTTCACCCAAATTATTTCCAGTCACTTCTTAGGATCGCATTGTTTGATCTGTAACTTGAAGGAAGCAGCTCCACAAAATGGAGCTTATCTATTAACTTTGTTTTGTCTAAAAGTAGTAAGTTTTTTTGTTTTTTTTTTATTACATCTTTTCAGGAAAATTCTGAATACTTTTCTTTTTTTGGGTCAGGTCGTGGGGCCTGAACTCTGGGCCTGGGCGCTGTCCCTCAGCTCTTCAGCTCAAGGCTAGTGCTCTACCACTTGAGCAACAGCACCACTTCCGGTTTTTTTCTTTTTGCTTATGTGGTACTGAGGAATCGAACCCAGGGCCTCAGGCATGCAATGCAAGCGCTCTACCACTGAGTCACCTTCCCAGCCCTCTGAATACTTTTCTGTCTGATACAGGATCCTTGATGACATTGAAGTTTATGAAGAACAAATTTCCTTCAAACTGGAAGAGCTGGTCACCATCTCCTCTTTTCTGAATTCCTTTGTGTTTAAGATGATCTGGGATGGAATTGTAGGTAAGCTATAGGTACCCATCGTAGAGGTCAAAGTCTATAACTTCAGTTGGCTCTTAGCTTTGTGTTATCTACCCAAATTAATAGAAAATGCACATACATTCACATAGAGAAGTTTTGTTCTTCCCTTTCTGGGACCTCTTAAGAGAATAACGTGCTCCTAGAAGTCCCACTTAGCCAGGTATCCTTCAGGATTCACATGTGCATGCGAGTGTGCATGTGGGTGTGCATGCATGGGGGTAGGGAGAGAAATTAATGACTTGCCTGAATCGCCTTTCAGTGTTTTCATGTCATTTCACACTTCAAATGCAAGCCCACCTCCTGACCCATTTACAGTTGTTCCGTGCCTAACTCACTTAGGGTAAAGAAAGCCTTTGTATAGTACTCTAGTGGGAGGTGATAAGTCTGAGAAACACACGGGCCCTGCGGACACCAGGGACACTCCCTGGGAAAAGAGGTGGGCCTGTTTTTCCACTTCTGTCCTGTACCACCTCACCCTCCCTGTCGCCCCTACAGAGAATGCCAAGGGTGAGACCTTGGAGCTGTTCCAGTCTGTCCACGGGTGGCTGATGGTGCTGTATGAGCGGGACTGCCGGCGGCGCTTTGCCCCTGAAGACCATTGGCTGCGAAAGTAAGCCCTGGGCTGGGCAGAGGTGTCCAGTGTTGAGTATTTGTGTTCTTAGAAGGAAGGCCTTTTCCTTCCTTCATGCTGTCCGTAGCCTGCAGAGAGGACTCTGTTCCCACAGAACCCCTGGCGGAGTACACCGCCTAGCATCGCTTCTGTTGCACTAGTATCATTACCAAGTTCATTAGTAGCAGCAAAGCCAGGTCATGTTCAGCTGCAGTTTTTTACCTAGACTGGGAAGAAGTGATCTTTCAGCTCATCTGAGCAATGGGGTGGGAGAATCCCATGGGTTTTTGTTTGTTTGTTTCTGATACCAAGAACTTAAACTCGTTATCTGACGCTTACTTTTGCTCATTGGCTGGCATGCTACCTGAACCACCCCTCTAACCCCCACAGTACTGCCTTAAGCTGGGGGTATGGTTGGTTCAAGTGGTAGAATACTTGCCTAGCAAGCATAAGACTCTGAGTTCAAACCCCAGTACTGCCAATAGGAAGGAAGGTTAGGCTTAAAAGTGGGGGGTCGGGGGTCGGGGGAGAGGAGGGCAGGTTAGGCTTAAAAGTGGGGGGTCGGGGGAGAGGAGGGCAGGGCAGAATGGGGGAGCAGGGGAATCCTTCCACAGCAGGTACTTTTTTTTTTTTTTTTTTGGTCGGTTGTGGGGCCTGGGCACTGTTCCTCAGCTCTTCAGCTCAAAACTAGCACTCTACCACTTGAGCCACAGCACCACTTCCTGCCTTTTCTGTTTATGTGGTTCTGAGGAATCGAACCCAGGGGCTCATGCATATGAGGCAAGCACTCTACCACTGAGCCACCTTCCCAGCCCACACAGCATGTCTGTCAGTGACATGTCAGCACTTAGGTCACTGCCATAGCTCTGACTCCAAAGCCAAGCTTCATGAAAGTCATGAAGGGCCAGCTGATTTTAGGCTGAGGACCATAGTTTTGTTACAACCACTACCTCTGCTGTCCTGTGCATGCGTGGACGGACATTAACTTTGCAGAGACAGGCCTGACCAGGCAGAAGTTGGCCCACGTGCTGTAGTCTGTGAGCCCAGCATTAAGAGACCTGTGTTTTGTTGCTCTGCTTACCAAGCCCCGGGTCTTCCTTCCTCAGGGATCTCAAGCCCAGCGTGCTCTTCCAGGAACTCGACAAAGACCGGAAACGGGCACAGCTCATCCTACAGCATATCCCTCATGTCATTCCACATAAAAATGTGAGTTTCAGTGGGGACAAGGCTCCTGGTATGTCTTGTCTCTGCCCCCCCAGGCCCAACTCTGAGTCTGTTATGGGATTGGGAATGACTAAGTGACATCACTCATCACACATGCTCACACGCGCACACATAGTGATCTGACTGGGGCACACAATGCTGCAGGCTGGTACAGGTGCAGAGAAGGCAGTGTGGCTGGTAATGTGGGTGTCGAGGGAGGTGAGCTGCTTACAGAAGAGGGGAAACAAGGAGAGTGTGCTATCACCCGGGGGACTTGAGACCTAAGAAGGTCAAGCACAGGGTCAGGAGCCACTAGGAAATATGGGAATGCATGGTTACATCCCTGATGAGTAGTGGGCAGTACTGCTGGGTGCCAGGACCACACCAAGGCCCAGCTGAAAGAGACCAAGAGGCAAGGAATGCACCTTTCCTGTCTGTTCTTTCTTTTTTCTCTTTTGATAGGTATTTAGCAAAGAGGAGACATGTGATTTTCATAAATTAAATGCTTCTTTTTCAGAGGTAGTCCTCCTGCTCTCTGAGACTGGCTGACCTTGGCGCTTTTTTTTTTTTTTTCCTTTGTCATGGGGCTTGAATCAGGGCATGGGCGCTACCCCTGAGCTCTTTTGCTCAAGGCTAGAGCTCTGTCACTTGGAGCCACAGTGCTACTTCCAGTTTTCTGGTGGTTTATTGGAGATAAAACTCTCACAGTCCAACCCAAGCTGGCTTTGAACTGCCATCCTCAGATCTCAGCCTCCTGAGTAGCTGGAATGGCAGGTGTGCACCCTGCTCAACCTTGGCTTTTATACTTACACTTGCTGTTGATTCTCCTCAAGCAATGAAATGCAAATGATTTGGCTGTTGAAATTCTTTCTGCCCTTGTGCATACACACACACACACACACACACACACACACACACACACACACACACACACACACACACACACACACACACACACACACACACACACACACACACACACACACACACACACACACACACACACACACACACAAAACTGCCCCCTGTCTCTGAGTGGAGCTGTAAGTGGTAGAGCACTAGCCTTGAGCTGAAGAGCTGAGGGACAGCACTCAGGCCCAGAGTTCAAACCCCAGGACCAACCAAAAAAAACAAAGACAAAGCAGGCCTTCTGTCTGTATCTTGTAAATCATGGGCCATTCCTCCTCCTCTTTTAACTGGTCCACTGCTCTATAACTTCTCCTCTTGGTCTTCAAACAATTCCAGAAGGCAGATTGCTAATCTATAAACTAAGAATCCAACTATCTGCAGCCAGCACCCCCCCCCCCTTTTTGTTTTTGTTTTTTTGTGTCTTCTGTTGTCCAAGTGTGGTAGCTTCAGCTTCTCCAGCAGTTCTCCCATTTCCAAAGTCATCTCTGGCCCTTCATCACCTGACTGCATGCAGTTTGGTAATGTCTGATTAAAAACACAGCCCCTTGTCCTGGACCTGTGTGTCTAGGATCTTATATTTTTGACCTTAGCATCTCAACCCTGGCTCCATGACCTGCAGTGGGGGTGCTGAGGTGCCTAAGGCTGCCAAAGGAGTTTAATTAAATCTTTGAGGGGTAGTAAGACACACATGATCCTGTAGCCCGAGGGCCACGGTTCTAACCTTCACCTGCACTGCCTTCTTTTCAGTGGTGTGTGCAAACCTAGGGGTTTCGTTTATTTGGGGTTTTTGGTTGTTGTTGTTATTGGTACTGAGGTTTGAACTCAGGGCTTCAGCTTGCTAAGCAGGCTTTGAGCTATACTCCCATACCCTTTTTGCTTTATTTTTTTTGAATACTGTTTTGTACGCCTTGCCCCAGGCCGGTCTCTACCACTTAAGCCAGACCTGCAACTCCCCAGACTACTCTTTTTAGAACATTTCTTCCTTGGTGCAAATTCAGCTGGATTTTAAATTCCCAAAAGTGCTCTCACAAGACTCCTCCAACCCAGGACATATACCAAGGTCTCCCATTCCACCTACATCCCAAGGGACTTCAAGTTCACTCATTTTGTGACCTGATTTTTACAGGAACAGTCACTTGTATACCTTGTTTCTGGTCCTACCCTTGCTTCTTCCAGAGAGTTCTCTTGTTCCGAAACATGGTTACCAAGGAGAAGGAGAAGCTGGGGCTTGTGGAAACGAGCTCTGCCTCCCCTCACGTCACTCATATCACCATCCGAAGGTCCCGGATGTTGGAGGTAAGTGAGAGTTCCACAGAGGCCCTGAGTCAATAGTGGCTGCTGTGTCTGTAGGATATGTGGAGGGCTGTTGGTGGTTGGCATCCTTCTCTAGCACATTCCTCACTCAGCAGACCCTAATGCAGTTCCCCCATCCTACCCCACCCCTCCTGGGTGCCACTGCTGATGGAATCCCACTTGGCTCTGCTTTTCAGGGCCATGGAGGAGGAGGGTCCAACTTTCCCTGTAGAAAATGTCCTCCTCTGTTTTGGCAGAAACCTCCTTTGTCCCCAAACCCCAGAGGTTGTGGTTATTTGGACCTGAGAGCCTATGGCCTTTGCTTGGTATGCCCAGCAGGGGGCGTCAGGAAGCTAACACCTAACTCATACTGCCTGGATTCTTACTCTGCCTCCAAAGTGGTTTGTATGGGAGGCCACACTTCTGTGGGCCTCCTGGGCTAGCTCCAGTCCTGCAGGCCACCTCCCTCCCCAAGGCTAGACTCAAGCTGCAGCTCTAGTACCTCCAAATTGGAGGAATCTCAGGTGTGATCTAGCCCAATCTTTGCTCTGTCAAAAGCACACCTGAGGCCAGAGAACTTTATAGAGTCTCAAATCAGGTATCGCTGACTCCAAAGCCAGGATTGGGAGCCAGGCCTGCCCTTCCCAGCTCAGTGTTCTCTGTGTCCTCATGGGGAGATGTGGGGAGTGGGCATGCCGTTGCCTTTCCAAGAGGCATGTGTGGTGAAATCTCCACCCACCAGTCCCTGGAGGGCAGGAAGTATGCAGGTGACTGGGGGCCCAAGCCTCTGATGCCTTCTAACGAGGCTCTGGCAAGACAGAGCTGGATCCTGCAGCCATTCCTGAGGACAGCCATGTGCTAAGAGCATCATACGCTGTCCTTTTAATCCCCACAACATCTGCGGAGGGGATTAAAGTTGGGAGGTGAGACTTAGAGCAGAAGAAAACCCTGAACTCCGAGGGAGCACGCTGATTCCTCCGTGCATCCTCAGAGGAGTGCCAGGAGAATGAGCCTCAAATTGCTCACTGGGTTTAAATGCTGCTACAGCTGTGTGCGTCTTCATGTTCCTCTCAATTTTCCTCCTAACTTGATGTGAACAAGAAATGCTTTGTGGATGTGTAGGCAACACTGTGTTCCTATTCCTTGTTGATCAAAGAATGGTCTTCACAGGTCATTTCTCCCTGGCTTGCTGACCCTGCAGTCTAATCATGTAGGACAGTCCTTTAGATTGCTAAGTGAGTCCAGCAGGGAGGCAGCAAGGGTTCCCCCCAAACCCATCTTGCTATCCTGGCAGATTGTCCCTTGGCTTTGTGACAAGGTGACCAGACTGAAGGACAGATGGGTAAGTGGATACTGTGGAAATCCATCTAATACCAGCAGAACGTGACCAATGCTGCAGTTGTGACAGAGGTGTGAAGGTTGATTCACAACTCGCTGTGTGACCATGTCTGCATCAGTTTGGCACTGGTGGCAGGGTAGGGTCTCTGGCGTTGGGCCAGAAGACCCCTCCCTAGGCTGTCCTGTTCACTGGAGTCCAAAATAAGAACCTCAGTGCCCCATCTATCAGGAATGCAGAGAGGGACAGTCAGAAGCCAGGAAGATTCACCATGAAAATGCATTTGCACGCTGAACCGTGAACAGAGTCCAGGAGCTGGGCAGGTTGTGCTCTAGATGGAAGCCATGTGAATGGCTAGATTTTGTTGTTGCTGGTGGCTTGTGGGGGGGAGAGTTGTTGTTGTTGTTGTTGTTTTGGTAGTGCTAGGGATCAAACCCAAGGTGTCATGCACGCTAAGCACACACTTGACCCCAGGGCCGCACTGAGCAAAGGGAGCTGACCCACAGCCCGAGGTGCTGAGGCCCCCTCCCTGCTGCTCCTACCTCATCCAAGCCTGGCATCTTTCTGCACCCTTGTCTGCTTCCCACCTTGTCCCCCGCAGTCTGCACAACCCAAAGCCAGCCAAGTTGCTCCCAACCCCCTGCTCTGCTCCCGTTGCTCTCAGCCTGATTCCTCCTCAGGGTTCCCACGGTCTGAGGAAAGGCTCCAGGAAGAGGGGAGATACTTGCATCTTACGATATTCCAAAGGTCTGCCTTCTCCCTGTGAGCTTAAAGAGGCACTTGACATTCAAAGAGGAAGAGAGATCAACCTGTCTGGGTTTTCATTATCCTTTGATGGCTGGAGCTCGTCTTGACGCAGTCTGTCTGAGGACAGTCTGGTTTCTCGGTGTCCTTCCGAGCACAGTGTCCCCTTGCCAAAAGAACAAGCACATCCCAACCCCAGAACGAACCTTTCCGTTTCACAGGCCCGTTTCACAGAGCTCCTGTCCTTGCAGGCCTGCTGGTCCTGATTTGCACATTTAGTAATTACACCAAGCAAGCGCAGGGGAGCCCTGGGCTAGGCGGCCGCTCCTGGCTTCCTACTGGTCTATGCTTGTCCCGCAGGACGGCTATGAACAGCTTCGGCAGCTTTCCCAGCACGCCATGAAGGGCGTGATCCGTGTGAAGTTTGTCAATGACCTGGGTGTAGACGAGGCTGGAATCGACCAGGATGGCGTGTTCAAGGAGTTCTTGGAGGAAATTATCAAGAGGGTGTTCGACCCAGCACTCAACCTGTTCAAGGTGGCGGAGGGAGTGTGAGTGGGGCTGGCAGGGACTGACACAGTGGAGAACGAGGCGAGTAACCTCTCTGCCCTCTCTGCCCTTTCTCCTGGCAGACAACCAGTGGGGATGAGCGGCTGTACCCCTCCCCCACATCCTACATCCACGAGAATTACCTGCAGCTCTTCGAGTTCGTGGGGAAGATGCTGGGGAAGGCTGTGTATGAGGTAGGCCGTGAGCGTGGGATGGAACTTCAAAATGCAACGTGCCGGGCTCCACAGCCTTCATAAACGGCCACGTGTTAAACAGCCCAAGGAAGTAGGACCCAGCAGCATTTGCACGTGCTTTCCACGCGTCATCACGCTCGGTCATCTCAGTCCTGTGGCGTGCTGCTGCTCCCCCTCTTCACCAGGGCGAGAGAACCAAGGGTCTGAGCACTTGCTCATCCACTCTCCTCCCTAGCTCTTCAGTAAAAGCAGAATTCAGGCCCAGGCCTGCCTGGGTCCTCTACCAGCCCTCCTCTTCCTGAGGTGTGGTTTTGTTTTTGTTCACTGTGGTGATGCAATGGAATTCAGGGCCCTCCATCCTAAGCGACATCTGCCACGGAGCTTCGCTTGGAGCCCTGGTTTGAGTGAGCAAAATTCAGAGGGAGCCAGGCTCCTGGGCATTGGCAAGACCACCCAACCAGCACGGCCGGGGATAGAGCAGAGGCTGATTCCATCCTGGCTGGGGGCTGAGGCCACAGACAGGCGTCCAAGGGGAGAAGGCATGGACCCCCTTATCCTCCACTTGCCTGGGAGCTCTGTGCACAGTCTCAACACCCAGCTCCTCACCTGCAAAGAGGAGGGCATCTGGGGCGATTCCTACTTACAAAGTAGGAACAGTTCAGTCCTACCTGGACAGATGCCATGTCCCCTTTAGGTACACAGCATGGCGAGGCTCACAGGAGTCCAGCAGCTGAGACATAGAGCCTCCTGGTCCTTCTGCATAACCCTCCACTTCCCGGGCCTGTGGCTCATGCTCCTCTAGGCTGTGTTCAAATGTCACTTCCTCCTAGAAGCTTCCAGCCTGCCTCCAGTGAGAGCCTAGCCATACTCTTCTCCCTGTGTTTGTGGTGTAGAGAACTGGGCAGAGTGGCATCGGTCACTGCTCCGGTCCAGCCGCTGAGGCTGGGCTGGCGCATTCACATGGAGAAAGGCCACAGCATTGGCCTGGCAGTGGCCTAGCCTGCATCTCCTCCAACCTCTGCACCTGTACCTGTGACCCCTGCACTCTAAGGCCCCCAGGTAGACCGTTGGTTCCTTAAAGGACTAGGGAGAGCTCTAGCTGTCTAGACTGGACTCTTAGAAGCCAATGGCAGCCTCAGGGCGCCCCTGCAGCCTGAGCCAACCGCTGAGCCAGAATCCTGGTTAGGGGAACCGCAGCTTCGTGTCTTCCCTCGCAGGGGATTGTGGTGGACGTGCCCTTCGCTTCCTTCTTCCTGAGCCAACTGCTCGGGCACCACCACAGCATCTTCTACAGCTCCGTGGATGAACTTCCTTCTCTTGACTCGGAGTTCTATAAAAACCTCACCTCCATTAAGGTCAGTGCCGAATGACGGGCGACACCGCTGGGCCCTGCAGGGGCCATCCACCCGCGGGGGTGACTGGCAGCCTGCTCTGCTCCACCTTCCAGAAGATTCTTGTTCTAGTTGTTCTTTGCTCCCCGAGGAAGGGGGTTGAGTGCTTCCAGGGCCTGGTGCTCCTCAGCCCCAGCCAACCTCCCCGCTCTCTTTGTGTCAGCGCTACGATGGGGACGTCGCAGACCTTGGCCTCACGCTGTCGTATGACGAGGATGTCATGGGTCAGGTAGGTGGGCCGTCCTGAATCCTCCCCTCCTCCTGGTGCTTTCCTTGCAGGCAGCTCCACAAACTTTATATCTGACAGGGCTGGGAATGTGGCTTCGTGGCACAGTGCGTGCCTAGCACGCAGGAAGCCCTGGGTTCGACTCCTCAGTACCACGGAAGCAGAAAAAGCTGGAAAGGGCGCTGTAGCTCAAAGGGTGGAGCGCTAGCCTTGGGCCAAAGCAGCTCAGGGACAGCGCCCAGTCCTGAGCTCAAGCTGCTGGACTGGCAAAAAAAAAAGCAACTTTGCATCTGTCATCCCCTCCCACCTCCTTCCTTTCCTCCTTCCCTTCCTCCTCTGAACTGCCTCCCCACACACCTGGCCTTGGCACACCTGCTTCTAGGAGAGCGTCCCCCAGTGTGCCCATGTCACCATCTAGAGTGTTCTGGTGGGCTTGGTTCGTACTGTTTGCACTGCCCTGGTGATGATCAGCATTACAAATGGAGATGCTGGCTGGGAGAGCACAGGCCGCCCCAGGGCCTCCGGCAGAGTGTGGCCTTGCCCCCTGCTCAGTAACAGAGCCCGGCCACGCACAGTGGCTCGCACCCGTAATCCTACCTACGTGGTCCTTAACATCATGTCAGCATGAGCGTTTCCTGCCTGCCACGGGGCACACTGCTGTGGCTTCACTCTCTAGTGTCCTCTGCCCCCCTCCAGCTGTGTCCCGGGGAGGCCCCTGTGCGAGGCTGTCTGTGTGGCTGGCCTGGGCTGCTCTGAGCCTCCGCCTGGAGCCTGTCAGTACAGAGCCGGCTTCCTAGATGCAGGCTGCGACCTCAGAGCCCACCCTGTCCCTCTGAGCCGCATTTCCAGATCTCGTAAAAGCAGCAGTTGCCAGACGTGAGTCCTTGGTGGGACCAGTGTCTAAACCCGGGGGAATTCCTGCCAGTCCCACCTGCTTCCTGGAAGTCCACTGAGTACCGTGATGTATGACACCCCCCCCCCCCCCCGAGACCTGCAGGAAGAAACCCCAGTGTGGACACCAGGTTGCGCCCGCTCACCTGCCCACAGAGCTCCTCCTTCAGAGAAGGGAAGGGCACTTGCATGGAACAGGTCTCTGTTTCTGGTTTTGTTTTTAAAGTAATTTCATTGTTATGAAGGTGTTGCAGGGGGTTACCATTTCATAAGTTAGGTAGCAAGAACATTTCTGTTTGGAAAATGTCGCCCCTTCCCTTCCTTTCCCTCAGTCTCCCCTTCCTTTCCTTGCCTACAAGTTCCTTAGATCATCTCAGAGCGGTTCTGTAGAGAGTACTGGCAGTCAGTGTGCTCCCTGCTGCCAAGAGAAGCATCTCAAAACACTGAGTTATGCTGAGAACATAAAGGTGAAAACAAACCACCTGTGATGCCATGCCTAGGGGTAGTTTGTAGTATGCTACCCATATACTTCCAGACTTTTCCTCAGGGTGTGTGTGTGTGTCTGTGTGTGTGTGCATATGTGTGTGTGAGTGTGCATGGGCACGCACACGCATGCGTGCATGTGAAGGATGAGGTGTAGAAATGATACCACACCATCTACCCTTTTATCTTTTTTTTCACCCTTTAAATAACTACACACTTAGACCCGTAATCCTAGCTTCTCAGGAGGCTGAGATCTGAGGGTCTCAGTTCAAAGCCAGCCCGGGCAGGAAAACCATGAAATTTTATTTCCAATTAACCACCAAAAGGCTGGAAGTGGAGCTATTGCTCAAGTAGTAGAATACCAACCTTAAGCAAAAAACAACAACAACCAAACTCAGGCTGGGCACTGGTGGCTCACACCTGTAATCCTAGCTACTCAGGAGGCTGAGATCTGAGAATCACAGTGCAAAGCCAGCCTGGGCAGAAAAGTCCTTGTGAGACCCTTATCTCCAGTTAACCACTCAAAAACTGGAAGTGGAGCTGTGGCTCAAAGTGGTAGAGTGCTAGCCTTGAGCAGAAGAGCACCCAGGCCTTAAGTTCAAGCCTCACAACTAAAAAACAAAAAACTCAGGGACAGTGCATCCCATACCCTAAGTTCGAGCCCCAGGATGGGCAAAAAAAAAAAAAGTATGCTTATTATATTTTCTACTAGCTGCACAGTACCATCATTTATTCCATGCCCTGCTGTGGTCCTAAATGCCAACACATTTCCCTCTGTGACATCCTGGAGCCTGATGTGTTTGAACCAGGATCCTCCGAGCAGAAACTTTTCATAGTGCTCATCTGAGGTCTGCTTATTGTTGCTTTGACCCTGGGGATTTGTGGGGGGGGTCTGGGGGGAATCACTCCCAAACACAGCATCTTAACTCCATCATTCTCATGGATGTCAGCACTAGGCCCTTTCAGGAGGCTTTGTTTCCAAGTTAGAATTCTGTATTAATGACTCCCCTTTTCCTCTCCCCCGCCCCCTCCCCAGCTTGTCTGCCACGAACTGATTCCTGGAGGGAAGACCATTCCTGTTACAAATGAAAACAAGTGAGTACAGCAATTGGATTTTTAAGGTCACCACTTGAAAAGACTTCATTCTGGCTCTCTGGGCTTAGGTAGAGAATTTATTAAGATAGATGGAAGTCGGAAGAAGCCATCAATGTCGTAATGGAATTTGATGATTACAGCTCATAGTTGGAATTGTACTAAATTCGATTTGCAAGCTAAGAACAGACTATTTATTTATTTATTTATTTTGCAGTCGCTTTTTTAAGGTCAGGGGCCCTGGGCTACAGTGTTAGGGAAGTAGTGGTGGCTCTTGATGAGACAGGTGAATCCTGAGCCTGCAGACACAGGGAGAGCAGTGGGACAGGGACATCTTGGTGGGACAGCTCGCTTGGATGATCAGTGGTGAAGTCAGATCCAGCAATGTGGAGGGGCGGTTATAAATGACAACAGGTATGGGACATAGAGCCCCCATCCCCCACCCCCCAGGGCAGTCACCTCTGCCAGGTGACCTAGCAGAGGGAGGTGGTGAGAGCTGCGTGCATGTGTGTGTGTGTGCTGTGTGTGTAGCACGTAGAAACAATGGCCAGAGGACGGGAGATAGACGGCTTGTGTTGGAGTAGGATTCCTATCCTGCCTTGAAGCTGACATAGAAACTAACCAGAATGTCTGGTGTTCTGAGCCAAGATATCCAGGCCTGCACAAGATCTCCCCTCCTCGATCCCATGATTCTAGCTTCCTCTCTTTTTTTTTTTCTCTTGGTTAAAACAACATGAGAAGCCTCCTTCCAGGATTATTTGAGAGTAGGGATGGTAATAGAAAATTCCTATTTGAATGTGTTACTATACTTCACTGGATTTTTTTTTTTTTGGGGGGGTGCCAGTTGGGGGCTTGAACTCTGGACTTGGGCGCTGTCCCTCAGCTCTTCAGCTCAAGGAAAATGCTCTACCACTTGAGCCACAGCACCACTTCCAGTTTTCTGGTGGTTTATTAGAGATAAGAGTCTCGTAGACATTTCCTGCCCAGGCTGTCTTTGAACTGTGATCCTCAGATCTCAGCCTCCTGAGTAGCTAGGGTTACAGGCATGAGCCCCCAGCACCTGGCTTCACTGGGTATTTTTTAAACTCAGATTATCAAGATTAGAACTGGGCATGATGTCTCACACCTGTAATCCTAACTACTCAGGAGGCTGATAGTTTGAGGATTGCAGTTCAAAGCCAGCCAGAACAGGAAAGGCTGTGAGACTCTTGCCTCCCATTAACCAGCAAAAAGTTGGAAGTGGAGCTATAGTTCAAGTGGTAGCATGATAGCCTTAAGCAAAAAAGCCCAGGGACAGAACCCAGGCCCTGAGTTCAAGCCCCAGGACCAGCATCAAAGCAAAAAAGACCTGAGCATTGTGGAGCAAAACAGATTTAGTTGGAACTTGTGAGTTGTCCTTGGGCTGGGCTCAGGTTCTTTAATCCTGGAGTCAATGGTTTGCTAAGAAATCAGCTGTGCTTCCAAGTGTGTGAACTTGTTTAACCTGGCTAAGGGGCTTGCATCATCGAGAAGATCCCAGAGGACTGAGCCAGCAGCTCTCTGCTCTGATGCACTGTTGGCTGCCTAACCCAACCGTGTCTGTGCCACACAACCTTCAGCACTTATCTCTTTCTTCATGCCTTTAGCCTCTCGGTCCAGCAACACTTGTGCTGACATGTCAACAGGAAACCGCTTCTCTACTTTTAACGTTATTGTAGGACTGAATCTTACCTTAAATGGATGGTGTCCAGAAGAATGAGAATTAAATAGACAGCTGAACGTTAGGAGCTGTGGGCAGTGTCTCACTGTAACTCCTGACGTCATGAGAGGGAGGTGGTCCTGCACTAGAGCGCGGCAGGGGTAAACACACGGTGACAAGGGAGGAGCGAATGCCTTGGACAGGACACTTCATCCTGGGCGCCCTGGTCATAGTTGTGAGACCACTTGTGTTTCACAAAGTGGTGTAGAAATGCAGCCACTTGGCAGCTGCCTGCCCCATCATCATGTGCGGCGTCTCCTCTCCCTTGTTCACAGAATTAGCTACATCCACCTGATGGCACACTTTCGAATGCACACTCAAATCAAAAACCAGACGGCTGCCCTCATCAGCGGGTTCCGTTCCATCATCAAGCCTGAGTGGATCCGAATGTTCTCCACCCCGGAGCTGCAGCGGCTCATCTCTGGAGACAACGCCGAGATCGATCTGGAAGATCTGAAGTAAGATTTCAAGGTTTCTCTGCGGGAGCAGAGAAGGGCAGCATGTTTGGGCCTCACAGAGGGAGAGCGCTCCCTTCGGCAAAGCGGCAGCGGGGCTGGAGGACTGGGGCTCACCACAAGTCTTAGCTGATGGCATTGTGGGAACTTGAGCTGGCTTCTCAGAAACAGCAGGGCTGGCTGCGGAACTCCGCCTCGGTCACTGCCAGGAAGATGAGGCCATAAAGGAGCCTTAGGGTTCCCCAGCCCCGCAGACTCGCCCATCGGGACGCTGCTGAGCCCCTTGTCTGCATTATTTTCAGGAAGCACACCGTGTACTATGGTGGCTTTCACGGAAGTCACCGGGTCATCATCTGGCTCTGGGATATTCTGGCTTCCGACTTCACGCCTGATGAGAGAGCCATGTTTCTGAAGGTATCTTATTCTTTATTACCTACATGTATGCACTTGGTGTGTGATTATTCTCATGAATCTAGAAGGCCACATGATGCAGGCCACACCAGGAACGAGGGAATTTTAAGAAGATCCTAGATCATCAACACAGCCTGGTCCCTGGGCTGGTCTACCCCTTAGGCCAAGCAGAAACCAGAGAGGGTGAGGCCATACCTGCTGCCTGCCCCTGACTGTGGGGCCGGTCCCTGCATAGCAGACAGTCATAATCCACAGCATAGAGTTCTCAACTATCTATGCGCCTGTCTACCAAGGATCTCTCACACACACATACGCACACCACACACAGTGTCCCAATAAAACACAATGTAGGGCTAGAGGCATGGCTCAGGTCTAACAAGCATGAGGCCCTAAGTTCAAACCCAAAACAAACAAACAAACAAAAAATGAAGTGGCACTGGCTCAAGTGGTAGAATGCTCACCCTGAGCTGAAGAGCTCAGGGACAGCACCCAGGCCCAGAGTTAAGCCACACTCCTGGCACCAAAAAAAAAAAAAAGAGAGAGGGAGAGTTAACAGTTATTTGAGCCAAGCACCAGTGGCTCAGGCCTGTAACCCTAGCTACTCAAGAGGCTGAGATCTGAGAATCTCAGTTCAAAGCCAGCCCAAGCAGGAAAGTCTATGAGATTTATCTCCAATTAACCACCAGAAAACCGGAAGTGGCCCTATGGCTCAAGTGGTAGAGTGCTCACCTTGAGCTGAAGAGCTCAGGAACAGCTCCCAGCCCAGAGCTGTAGCCCCAACAACCGACTTGCCCCCCCCCCCCGCAAACACACACACACACACACACACATAATTGTTTAGGTTGCTATCAGTGTGTTTTGGCAAATGGAACGGCTGACGTTTATCAGTTTCTAGCCAAGTGTTAGTATAGTTGGGACTTCTAATATGCCTCCCCCAGCCAAATGTCACCACACTGAACAGTGCTATAGGACACTGGATGACATTCACATTTGTCTGTGTGTTTGTTACGAACAGGTACAGTTTTGTAAACATGGAATCATCTCACCACCTGCGTCACACTCTGAAAAGCCTTCAGGCCCTGCCATGTGCAGGATGTGCCCTGAGCAGTCTTGAGTGGCCTCTGAGGTTGAGGCAAGGTGGCAATGTCACTTCTACAGCAGTGACAGCTGCTTCTCCTCCTCCAGGAGGACCTGGACCTTCCAAACCAGGTCCCCTCCTGTCAAGGCCTCCTCCGGGGCTGAGCAGCCCAGCTTGACACCAAGTGCCCTGTGCTGGGGCTCCCAGTGCCCAACTCCAGGGCATCAAATTAGGGACACACCAAACCTATGGCACCACAAGCTTGTGCCTCGCCCCTGCCCCAGCCCCCTCCACGGCTGCCCATCCCTAAGGACAAGCAAGCACCACTGACCACTCTTGCATGTCACAGGCCCACCAGAGACCTGCCTCCTAGAAGTCACCAGTGCCCCGGTGGAAGCTTGCATTGTGCCTAAACTCTCTGTCAAACTCCAGTTACCCATGGTGGCCCCCCAGATAGCAGCACCTTTGAGATGTCCCGTGTGCCCTGGGTACCTAGGCCAGCTGCCCCTCCGTCACCCTGGCTGCCGGTGAAGGGGCGGGTGCCCTTCCCTGCCCCCTCTGACCCTGCCTCATGTTGCAGTTCGTGACCAGCTGCTCCAGGCCCCCGCTCCTGGGATTCGCCTACCTCAAGCCTCCGTTCTCCATTCGCTGTGTGGAAGTGTCGGACGATCAGGTACAAAACTGGGGCAGGGTTCCTTGACTTGGGCGTGGCTGGCTCCTGCGCCTACCACGCGGGGCCTTCCCTGGGTCTGCCTCAGCGAGCTGGGCACCCAGCCCCTCGGGGCCTGGAGAGGAGGGTCTGCAGTTCTCCTGGCAAAAGAATCGGCCATGCACAGCACCCATGGAAGGCCTTCCTCTTCCTCACTTGGGGAGGGGAATCATTATGAAGATAGGGGTGCCGTGAGCGATGGTCTGGCCATAAAACACATGTGCTTCAAGGCACCATGCGGCTGGTGCTGTGGCAGTGCACGGTGCAGGCCTGGGCAGCACCTCCCTGCCAGTCCTGTGCATGTGGGCGGGCTGATGGGACACTGGTGGTCTGCTAGATGCGAGCGGCCTGGGGTGAGTGATCTCTGGGTGTGCGCAGCTGCATGGCCTCGAGGTGTTGCTGCCTTTCATGGCGGTGTGGTGTGAGTGCCTGTTGGCTCTCTGTGGGACAGCCGGCCTCTCATCTTAAGGGAATGTTGGCCTAGGTGATTGCCTGCCGTGATCCACAGCACTGGTGAGGCAGGGATGAATGCTTTCCAACCTGAAGTAGCCTTACAGCGCGATGCTCTTTGAAAATCCCTCAGCTGCCAATTGTCTATTAACCATAAGGTCTGTTGTGAGCCTTGCCCAGTGCCAGATTCCTTGTGGGAGAATCAGCCCCTCAAGCCATTGCCCTGAGGTTCGACCTCAAGCCATGGGCCTGCACCCACCACGCATGCTCCAGTTGGTGCCCAGAGACAGGCCAGATCCCTAAACCAGGTGTCCCCTAACCCAAAGCGGTGGTATGCACTTGCAGGACACTGGAGACACCCTAGGCAGCGTCCTCCGGGGCTTCTTCACCATCCGAAAGCGAGAGCCGGGCGGCCGGCTGCCCACCTCCTCCACTTGCTTCAACCTGCTCAAACTGCCCAACTACAGCAAGAAGAGCGCCCTCCGCGACAAGCTGCGCTACGCCATCAGCATGAACACGGGCTTCGAGCTGTCCTAGCCCCACCCACCCAGCACCATCCTCTCCAGGGAATGTGACCGGCGCACCGGGCGGCACTGGTCCCACTTCCTCTCCCCAGCCGTGAGTCTCCCGTGGCCGAGATCCTCAGGCACGAGGCCTCCAGGAAACAGGATGGGAAGGGACTGCTGAAAATAAACTTCCCATTCCACCCCGTTGGTCCTCTCCATACTTTCAGGGGCCCACGGCTCTCAGGCCGGCGATGGCAGAGGGCTCCCCTGGTTTGGGCTTTCAATGGGTCTTCCTTATTCCTCCATGGGCCATATCCGACGAGCCCGCGGAACTGGCAGTCTACAGTGCTTTCGTGGCGTGGCCTGCCACACGTGAGGTCCTCTCCTTCCGTTCTGAAAACTCTACTCAGGTAAGGCCTCGTCCAGCCGCTATGCACCTGACAAAAGTCCCCACCCGCGCCCTGTCCATGTGGCCGCTGCCCCGGCCGCAGAGGCCACCGAGCGCAGGAAGTTCAAGACACCGTCCCCGCTGCAAAGCCACGTGGTCTGCCCCACCGCCCTCCTCTCTGAGCTTCCAGGGGTCCTCACCAGCCCACCCCACCCCGAACCCACACGGCTGGCTCCTTCAGGGCACAGCTGTGCTGGCTGCGTGCCCTGTGCTGATGTTCTGTCTAACGAGGAAGCAAACACAGGCATCTGTCCACCTGGGCAGTGCCTTCACTCCACAGACTAAAATCCTGAGAATCGTGGGTCCTGCCACCCATCCAGCCTCAGCACGGGGAGCCTGGGAGGCTGGGGAGACACCCCCCCCCCCCAGTTCCTGTCTTTTCTTTCCATTTTGTTTGATCCTTTTAACTTGATTCCTTTTAAAGCCCATCATGCCCCTCTGTCCTGCTTTTCTCCTTTCCCATGGGAACTTGTCTCCAAGCCAGGCCACCCTCCCCCACCCCCCATGCTTCCAACACCCCCACCACCAGACCCAAGCCAGGGTAGACACCCCGAGTGCCTGGCCTGCCCTCCATGGTCGCTCTCTTCAAAGCTGGGAATACCTTCCAGCACGAGGTCCCGAGTCAGGAAAGCAGGCAGGCTCGTCTCCATGGCCTTCATCGGGTGTAGCTGGCCCGCTGTTGGCTGGGGTGGCCCTGGGCCATCCCTGGGCTTGGTGGCCTCCTTGGGCAGCAGCTGGGCCAGGCTGCCGGGGAATTTGAAGACATGAAGTTAGGGCTGTCACCTCTGCTCCTGCACACTCTGAACACTGCTTCTTTGAAGCTGTGCTGGCTGCACGTAGATGATCTGTCCATAGAGGCCAGCCAGTTAACTGTCCACCTGCCCGGACAAAATGGAGCCCTCCTGAGCCAGGGCAGGACGATGCGAGGAGCTGGTGCTTCACAGCTCTGACACCCCAGACCTGTCTGTCCTCTTGGCCAGCAGAGGGGGGCTTGGAGCTGCACCCCAGTCTCCTCCAGCAGGTGTGGCATTGCACTGAGACGCTGAGTCTGCTCTCCCAGCTAGTGTTCATTGACACGCTGATGGCTCTTGAAATGTCGTGGGTTTTGTTTTTGTAGATAACTTATGGATGAAGATGTATGGAAGGCTTTATTAAATTTGTACTGGAGCACATGGTGTCGGCGTTTTCTACTCTATCCAGCCGTGTGCCTGGACGGCTTGGGATTGGGTGTCTGGGTTCAGCTCACACAGAGCTGACCCAAGGGGGCCAGAGGACTCGGTGCTGACCAGCAGCCCCCTTGAGGGTGTCGGCTGCTCGTCAGTCATGCTGGCCCCAGGCTTTGGCACATTTCCAAGCAGCACCCCTGGGGCCCACCCCTGGGTCCAGTCTCAGAAGCAGCCAGCACCTCGGGCTGTGTGGCTGCGGCCAGAGTCCATGTTTCACCAGCACAGTAGCTTACAACAGCATGGGTGATGTAAGTTGGGGAACATTGAGGTAATGGACGGGTACCGAGTCCAGTAATTAACAGCCACTGGACAAGCCGGCTCATCTCACACCTGCCTCGCTGATGGCTTTGTGTGGCTGGGGGCACTGAGGACAACCCAAGGGGGACCAGGCGAGCTGTGGGAAAGGAAGGGCCCCTCAGAGGCCTGCAGCCCGTGCCTAGCCATCCAGAGGACTTGAGGCACTAGAAGACTCAGTGCGCCCAGCTTTCCCACACCCAGCATTTCATCCTGCTTTCACAGAGTACTGTAGAGCCCCTACAATGCACTGGTGGTGTGCACTCTGACAACCAACGATTTGCTTGCGGTGTTTCTGAATCATTACAGCAAGAGGAAGTGTCCTTATAACTGGGAAGAATGGGGCTTTGTGCTGACAGGACTCGTACCTGCCTAGGAGCATCTCAGCCTGGAAAACACTGGTCTGGGCAGCTGCAGACAGCAGCGAAGCTGTAGCTTGTCTCCTCCATATCCAGCAGGTATCGCCCTGGTGAGAGCGGAAGATCAGGCAGGCATGACTCCCCTCACATAAATGTGGGTTCCTCTAGTCTCAGGCTGATTTCTAACACTGGTGAAACCTAAATTGACCAAATGAGCTAAAGAACTGGGGGCAGAGATTCATTTCATGAACTTCTCAAAAATAACACAGGCCAGGTGTGGTTGTATATGCCTGAAATCCCAATGCTGGGGAAAATGAGGCAGGAGGATTATGCATTGAAAGCTAACCTATCTCAGAAGAAGAGATGCAAATGGCAAAGAAACACATGAGGAAATGTTCACCATCCCTGGTTGTGAAGGAAATGCAAATAAAGACAACCCTGAGATACCACCTTACCCTAGTCAGAATGGCCCACATCCTAAAGTCAGCCAACAACAAATGCTGGAGGGGATGCGGAGAAATGAACCTTGTTACACTGCTGGTGGGAATGTACACTTATACGACCACTTTGGAAAGCAGTCTGGAGGGTCCTCAGAAAGCTAAATATTGGCCTCCCTTATGACCCAGCCATACTACTTCTTGGCATCTACCCTGTACAACAGGAACCAGTATACAAGGATACATGCACCTCCATGTTTATTGCAGCACTATTCACAATAGCCAGGATATGGAAACAACCCAGATGTCCCACCACAGATGAATGGATCCAAAAGTTGTGGTATCTATACACAATGGAATATTATGCAGCCATTAGAAAGGACAAAATAATGGCATTTGCAGGGAAATGGATGGAGCTAGAAGAAATCATGTTGAGCAAGGTAAGCTAAGAGCAAGGAGACAAATGGTACATAGTCTTCCTGTTAAGTGGATGCTAAATCCAAAATGTAAGGTGACACGACAAAATTAACAAGGCTTAAGAAACAAAGGACTTCCACTCATCTGGTCAAATCACTACTAAATAACCCCATGCTGCTGATCACATATATGGTATATATGTGCACACTGGAGGGAAACCAGGAGAATGACACGGAACTAGAGGGAATCAGGGAAAAACATAAAACAGCGGGACCCATCAGCTGCACTGGACATTGATCAAAATGAACCAAGCAACTCAATGACAGCGATGGGAGGGAGGGAACAAGTGGGATGCTATGCAAAACAAAAGAAATGTACATATCACCCCATGTGGAAGAAATAACTGTATCGCAAAGCCATAGAACTCATAAATGTTATAGACCACAATCGACTATTTGCCCCATGAAAGTTAGAATGTGTTTGTGACTTTAAGCATCACTATCCCACAATACTGTGAAATTTGGGGAATTATGTAATCAATCACAATAAAGAATTAAAAAATGAATAAATCTAACCTAGGCTACATCGTGAGATGGCTGCAGACGCTATCTGCAGTTTCTGGCCTTGAGTCACTGAGTCCAACTCTGCCTTCATTTCCTGAGGAAAGCAAATAGTGATAAAAATCCACCCGAGTAGCTCATAAGATGCATGGGGCTCGGGTCCTGACAGAGCCTCTCTCCCCTGTGCCAGTGGTCAGAGTGAACAGTACATAAGCAAGAATCCAGACTGAGGGTTTCCAGACACCTTGCTGGGCCTCTATTCCCCTCCCCCCGCCCCCACCTCAGCAGGGTCAGCTCTGGTCCAGGCTCTGCACTCAGGCCTCTGCACAAATGGTTGTGTTTCATCCACCCAGGGATTGTGGGAACTGAATGCAGTTGACACATTCGGCTGGATGCAGAGGTGAATTCGCCTGCGGGAGTTCGCACCACTAGAGGGCGCCACCTCTGGATCTGGTCCGGAGCCCAGGCTAAGGGCTTGAATAGCAGGGACAGCTGGGCTCAGAAGTGGTCCCTACAGGGGACGTGGCATCTGAAGCTGGAGACCAAGGTGGAGACACACGGCGACCCTTAGCAACACTGCCAGGCCTCGGGCGCGAGCTCCTCTCCCCACAGCGGGCCAGCCTATCTGACTGGCAAGGGGGCGAGGTGTGCAGTCTGCTGGATGGATTTGTCACCGGCACAGATGGTGCCAGATGGGCTGGGCAGCTGGCAGGTGTTCCAAGCAAGAGCCAGCTCAGGAAGCCAGGCTACCCAGGAGCCCAGGCTTGCTTTCCATCATCCAGACAGACATGGAGGAGCCCTTGAGCTGGTGAGATGTCATGTAGGACCGGCAGACACTGGCAGTGTGGTCCTCATGCCCACCCCCACGGAGCTGGCTCACTCTCCAGTGAGGAAGGAACCCTAACCGGTCCCAGGGGAAGACAAGTGATCATATTCCTCCAGGAATCTGTGTGTGTGTGTGTGTGTGTGTGTGTGCGTGCGTGTGATACTGGAGTCTGAACTCAAGGCCTCACACTTGCTAAGCAGATCCTCTACCACTGAGCCATGCCCCCTGCCCTTTTATCTTTTTGCTCTGGTTATTGTCCAGATTGGAGCTTCACTTCCTTCCCTGGGCATACGCCTGAGCTGCTGTCTCCCTATTTCAGGCTTCCTGTCCATAGCTAGGATGACGAGCACACTATCCATTGACAAGGGAGTCTTGATCATTCTGCCTAGGCTGGCCTCCAACTGTGAGCCTCCAAAACTCAGCCTCCCACGTACCTAAGATTACAGGCCTGAGCCATCCATGTCCTGCTTAATACCACCCTAATAGGAAGCCCACTTGGCAGCTGGGAAAATTCCAAGGTCAGAGATGCTCAGCTCATAGTTTAGGACTATTGGGTTGCAGAGCTGGGACCCCGCGTGAGCCTTTCCCTGAGGTGTACGGAGATAGGAGAGAGCCTTCTGTGTGAAAGGCCAGGCTGGTGCAAAGCCCCAGGGGCTGCTCGTTCTTATCTGCAGCCCACCCCTGATTTATTTGTGTTAGAAATCGTCAGGTGTTGCTAATGATTTTGAAGGTGCCCTCAGGTGTACCCCAGCTCCCTCCTTTAGAGGTTCACCAGTAGAGGGAAGTAAGAGGAATGGCAAGGCCCCACCAGCTCAGGCAAAAACCTAGGTAGGATGAAGGCCAATGTCTACTGTGCTCTCCCTCCCTCCTACCCCACCCCCTCCTATCCGGGGCCACCGTGGCTCTGGTGAACATGTTGGGCAGCCTGTCCTCCGTCCTGAGCACCTGCTCCCTGCCCATCCCCAAACCACGGGGCTTGAGCAGCAAGTGGCGGAAGCCAGCGTACCTCCCTTGGAAAAGAATCGTGCTGGCAGTGATTGAGGAAGGCCTGGGCCGCCAGCAGGTGGGAGCCAGGGCAGTTCAGGGCCTGGGAAATAGAGATAGAAGCTGGATCTCTACAAGCATGCCATGAGCATGAAGGAGCTGGTCCTAAACAGTCACCTGCCCTTGCTCAGCATGTACAAGGATCATCAGGGGAAACAGAAAATTCAGGGGGAAACACAGCTGGAATACCAGGACGTAGGTCCCAAGAGTCGCAATACTCGGATTTTAAGCAATTCTTCCAAATTATAGAGACACATTAGAAATGTGCACTTAGGTGGTTTTGTGCTACATAAATACAATAGTGAAGCCAGGTGCCGGTAGCTCATACCTATGATTTGAGCTTCTCAGGAGGCTGAGATCTGATGATCATGGTTCAAAGTCAGCTCGAGCTAGAAAAGTCCTTGTGACTTTGATCTCCAGTTAGCCTCCAAAAACCTACACGTGGAGCTGTGGCTCATATAGCAGAGTAAAAAATCTAAGGGTCTGCACAGGCCCTGAGCCTCCTTCATCCCACTCACGTTCTAGAAAAGATGTATTAAAATATCTGGTAATCAGAGAATTAACTTTGCTTTCGGACACTATCCAACCCAGCTTTCTTCTATTTATTTATTTTTGGTCACTTGTGGGGCTTGAACTCAGGGCCTGGATGCTTCTCCTGAGCTCTTTTGCTCAAGGCTAACACTTTACCACTTTTAGCCATAGTGACACTTTCAGTTTTCTGGTGTGTGTGTGGGGGGGGGGGGGTGTTATTGGAGATAAGAGTCTCATGGGCTTTCCTGCCCAGGCTGGCTTTGAACCACAATTCTCAGATCTCAGCCTCCTGAGTAGCTAGGATTACAGGCGTGAGCCACCAGTGCCTGGCAAGACCCAGCTTTTTCGAACCCTCCCCAGAGTCACCCAATACATGCTGATACCCCCCTCCCCACCAAGTCCTTCTTTACAGCTTCTTTCCAGATATTTCCCCTACACCCACGTGCTGTGTAGTGAAGAATACATCCTAATATTTACC